TGGATTTTTAAGCATGAGTACAGCATTGCTCTAAACGACAACAGTTCGATTTTATGGAATGGACATTTAAAAAGAACAAATTATTTCCCTGCATTAATTGCTGTTGGAAAGTTCTATCGTAGAAATTTATTGTTTTCGTCTTCATTGACTAATACTAGATGTATTTCTAACGATTAGCTCGTTCTAATGTCTATTTAACATTAAAAAAGGGAAATTTATGACTTGACTTAATTATGATGGTATAAATTAATTATAGCTGTGCGACTATTTTTAGATATTTTATTTAAAGCAGTTATAAAAGTTAGTCAAACTGGTACACAATTAGTGCAAGGTTATTTATTTCGTGATTATGTGCAAGCAATTTTTATTACAGGGTGACAGGGATGAAAGGGGAGCAATTTTAAAACTAAGAGTTAAACAGAAACTGTCAATGCAAGCAAATTAATAATTCAAGGTTGAATATTTAGGTTGTTTTATCAATAGCAATCAGATTGCCCGAAGTATAACCCTGATTGCAATGATCCAATGGAGCAACTGTGGCTACGTTTATCCTAAGACTTTTATATCGTAGCCATAATTTTAATTTACTTGTTAGATTTTGATTAGTCAATAGATAAATGATGGGATTACTTGCTGCATTACTACATATTAATAAGATTGAAGTCATTCTAACGCCATGCGGTAATTTCATAGCTGACTTTCGTGCAAGGTCCATTACAAAAATGATTGAAAAGGGCAACCAAGTGATTAATTTAGTTCCAACTATTAATGTTGTCGTTTTAATTGATTTTTTTATATTTCGACGGCCGGTTAAAATCCCAATTCCTTTTTGGTATGTGATGACTAAAATAATGATATTACATATAACGGTTACCGTAATCGCGACAAAAATATAAAAGATTAGTATAAGTGTGATAACATAGTTGTGCTGATACTTGGAAATATTAATCCAACATAAATTAGATGTAGGTAAGTATCGACCAAGCCCTACCAGCGGACAAATGGCCATAATTAATGGTAATAGCCATAAGATGACTACCTGAACTATAAAGCGTTGATATGCTACTACAGAATTATAGTAATAAGGGTGAGTAATAGCAATACAGCGATCAAAACTAATAGCAGTAGTAGTCGACAACGATGCGCCATAGAATAAAACGACTAAAAATGCTTGCAATTGACACAATACAGGGTTTTTGTATATCGGCTTTAAAAGAACGATTATTGCAACGGGTAGAGTTATAAATCCAGTCATAAAATCAACGATGGCCAAATTAGCAATAAGATATGTATTGACACTATGTAATGATCGACAGCGATGAATAACCATCAAGTTAAATGAATTACCAACAACGGCTACGAAGCTGATTAAGCCTAGTGTGACTACTGGAATACTGCTGTTGCTAATCGAAGTGGAGTTGACTCTTGTGCGATTAAGATAGATATCCATTGAGAATTAAAATAAATCAAAATACGTTTCCGCTTTATCAATCTTGAACCAAGTAAAGCAACTTTTTCTTTTAATCCGATGGCGCTAGTGCTTTGAATTTATTCGTTACCTTCTTGGCGGTTCATGATTAAAATGAGAAGAAATTGCATGCAAAATTAATACAAGGCTAGATATGAATAAAAATTTCAATAGTTTGCTTATTATAAACGGATTTAAAGACGCTTGATAATGATAGGAGAAAAATTTTGACGAGTTCCTTAACTTCTTCTTGTACAACGCCTATCAGTAATAAAACAAAATTATAATTCTTTTGATCTAAATTTATGGTACTATTTATAAAAACTTTTCCTTTTGATTATAATTATAATCTGGATCTAACGTAAACATTGATTATTGACAGTGGGAACGACTATTCAGGTGATGCCTTTCAGTATTTATTAAGCTAGGAATATTCTTAAGGTATTTACTCCTTCTCAGCTTTTAATATAGAGAATATCCTGCCGCTATTTAAATATTTAAGATAATCATAACTTGTCATTTAAATGTAATGAAAATTATTGGAACGGCTCAAGCTATTGTATTTCAATTATTTAACATGATCAAATACTTTTTATATTCCCTTATTAATTTTCTTACTTAAGAAGTTAATTACTTTACAATCGGCTTAGGGATAGTAGTCGGAGCTCATTCATAATCAATTAATGCTTTAATGTTAATATGATGAAATATCGTGGTAAATTCTAGAAATTAGGGCTATGAAATTTTCTCAGTATAATTTAGACTAGTTCTTGATTATATCTAGTGTATTCTTTCAACTGATGATTTGTATGAAATAATTTTAATTCACGCTAATTAGCTATAATATCCATTTGAACATCATAGACATGCAACCAGAGGGAAGTCATAAGTCATTTGCCATTTTTAACGGTGTGAAAAGGTTTAATATTTTGAAAATGAGATAAAATTATTCAAATTGTTCTAAGAAATGTCTAACTTATATACAGGACAGAAGGTACAGAAAAGATTCATGATACTAAATCAATTTTTCATTTCAATATCTTTATTGCATAATGGGGTGATAAAAATTAGCAGTGCATTAGCAAAATTAAAGTAACCTATAAAATAGAGAACGATAAAGTTAATCAAGACCTTGATAAACGAAGTTTTGATTAATATAAACAAATTCACAGTGCATTTTTTTAATGTAAAGACTATCACATTTAAAATTGATTTTTTACACACGTTATTAAATTATTATGTATAAATTTTCATTTCAACAACATCAGTATTGCAGGATATTAATTATCGCTATTAATGCTTTTAATGATAAGAATGATATTAAAATTGATGACTTTAGTAGCTTTACCGGTTATTAGTGCAAACTAATATACCATCTGTAGGTAGTTATGCATTCGTTCTCTTGAGCACTATTCTCATAATTTCCAGCTTAAATAGGATATTAAATATTGAAAGCTGTTTTAGATTATTTCCAATTCAAGTATGAATAAAGTGTAGAGGTAAGGTTTAATGTTAGTTGATATAGTTAAAAGAATACATATTCGATATCTCTTCATAGTTCAAAGACTACATATATAGAGTTTACTGTCTGTTAAAACTGATTTTCAAACATAGTCTTTTGATGAAGGAGGGTACTTAGAAAGGTATTCAATTCTCTACAATTGCATTTGATTATCAGCTAGAGAAGCGGATTATATGCCCACCATTTCATTCTGACTTACTATTTTAATCTAACAACAAATTGTAATCAAATACTTCAACCATTTCCGATGCTTTTACCCTTTCATAGCAAAATGAAACACCTTGATAATCATCTATTTATTAATAACTTCGGTTCATTTATTTTTTTCTTTAATTTGTTCTTGCTTGAAGATTGTTAACTAGTATAGTATTATTAATTGGTATAGGCATTTTATAACCTAAGTAGTAGGAGTAGCTATAAGAAGAGAAATATATAATACAATTATACGCGAAAATACTGAATGTTGAAAGGTAGTTATTAAAGATCAATATTTTTACCACTCTTAAATGTAAATGTTATTATTTGCAGTTTTAAATATGACAATTCTATAATTTGATGTTCTCTTTACAATAAGAAGCATTTGATGTCAGCGTAGCAGAACAATTATTTTTAAATTAAAAACACTTAGTGGACTTTTTCAATTTATATTTGTTAAAACTGCATTAAAGCAATGATTTTATAGACGAATATTTGTTAATCGAATTTAACAGTGAATATTAACAGTCGACAATTTTAATTATAACAATTTTGCCATTTCGAAAGATTTGAAAGCGACATCTAAAATTACTTGATCAACTCTTTTGATTACGATTTTTGCAATTTATGAATGTATTCTACTGTATGTCACGGTACGCCGTTACTAATTAAGTAACTGTAAATTAATGAATGCTTATGAATAGATAAGATAAGGTTATGTGCTATGTCTTAATGCGCTTGTAGCTGATAATAGGATGGTAGAAATGAGATAAAAATAGAAGTTGTTAGCAGTTAATTTACTGTAGGTTTATAAGGTATGTTAATCTCTAAAAATTGAGCTGTATATGGATGAAGGTTAAGCGTCTTAACACCTGATAGCTTGTAGCTATCTAAGTCTGAGAATATCGACATGTATATTTAGTAATGGTATTATACTAATTAATGTAACTTGTAAAGCATGAATTCTCACTCGTTAATATTGGAATTCACTGTAGAAACCTATTTAAGCGCGTGTGTTTGTAGAATAAAAAAAGTAATTGCTCAAGAAACGGCAAGACTCATATTGTGAAGAATAGTGTAATAATTAGTCAGTTGTCTGTGGAGATCAGCCGAGAAATCGAGTTCTCAAATACTTCTCTCATAGAAACTGAAAGTACTGGGAGAAATAGCCTAAGTTTTAAGTAACTACACTAGAGTTCTTTACTTTCCTTTGCCACAAGTGAGGGTTGTGACACTGTATTAGCGGCATATAACCCAACATTAATTTTCTGTCGTCTGAATAATATATGAATCATACTATAACTAATACTTTTGGTATAGATTTGCACTCTCTATTTTATAGTAATAAAAGATATAAAACTGTATAAATTAATAGAATTAATAATTTTTATGTGTCTATTCGTTTGGTTATGACGATCTTATAATAATGCGTACATATTAAAAATATTTTCCATAATAAGAATTATCAGGTACGAGCTAGATAAAAGTTTTACTTGTCGAAAATCTAGCAGTGTTATTTGAAGTAATACGAAAAATTCTGTACCAACTCTTAATCACGTGCTGTTACTTATTATAAGAAGTTTTCACCACATCTGTAATTAAATAATGATTCTCAGAGATTAATGTTTTAAATTACAAGTAAAGCTTTGTCATCGAACGAAATCAATTGCTGGTATAGCAAATCATCGATTATTGATTTAGGTATAAGTCTATATAATGAATTTAAGTATATTTTAATATTAAAATAAATATTAGCTACGACCCTACTGATACACCTCATACTATGTCGAAATGTTTACATCGAGTACGAAACTTTTATTTTGTGCTGTCTAATATTTCATCTTCTAGCATTTTTAAAGATAAATTTAGATCGTTAGTATTTTCAACTTCTAGAGCTATAGTATCTTGTATAGGATTATCGTGACCGTTTTGAATTTTATTGTCTGATTTATCGTTATGTTTGATATCTTTTACATCACATTTAGGATCATAGATATGGTTATTTTCGGCAATGAGTACGTCAGCTTCCGCAATAGTATTTTCTAGTATTTCATTAGAAGTAAATCTATTTTTTTGGTCAACTTGGCTATTATCCTCTTCCTTTTCATGTATATCTAGTATTTCGTTAGTAGTAGATTTACATTTTCGATTTTCTTGGTTTTTGTCTTCTTCCTTGTCTTGTATATCTAGTGTTTCATTAGAAGCAGATCTACTTGATCGTTTAACTCGATTATTGTTTTCTTCCTTTTCCTGCATTTCTAGTTTTTCATTAGGAGTAGATCTACTTTGTCGGTTAACTTGGCTATTACTTTCTTCCTTATCCTGAATTTTCTCTACAATGACAGGATCAGTAGTTTCTTTTTTAGCTGGTAGTTTTACATCACTAGCAACATGAGGAAGAGCACTATTTGAATTATTTCCTTGTTCACGATTGGCATCTTCACTCTGTCGAATATCTTGTGCTGGGTAAGCCTGTGGATATTTCCAATCGTTATCGTTTTCCGTTGAAACTTGGAGACTAACCGGACTGACTACCATTATACGGTCTATTTTTTGCTCATTTGGAATGTTAGATTCACTATGTTTACCATTTGATGGCAGAATATGTTTACTATCTTCGACTTGATCTGTCATTGCTGTTGTTGTATTGATATTTACCGAGGGAATTACATTTTCCTGATTTAGAATTTTCTTTTGATTGTCGCTTTCTTGTCGTTGATATAGATGCATTATAGAATTTTGAATTCTTTTAGCATCAGAATCGGGCATACTATCACTTGATGATGTAGAATTTCGCATATCTGGATACTGTATATGATTTCTTAGCGAGTTCTTAATCATCATAGGCATTGGTGTGGTAGCTTGTGATATTGTTGAGACATATGTTATACTTCGGGGAAGATTAGAGGAGCTAACACTGAGGCAAACAAAGTTATCACTATTAGTTATTAAGCTGGAATGTTCATCTTGTTGGGCTTGATGATTGGTATTTTTCCATGCAGAAGTTTGAAATGCAGTTTCTTTTTGTCGCCTTGCTGAATTAGAAAGTGTAGTATCGCGTACTCGATTTCTTTCTGCCGATTGCTGTAAATTGAGCTCATGTTGCTGTTTTTTACATAAATATGCAACAATACCAATGGCAATTATTCCCATAGGAGTAGCTATGGCAGGAACAATAATTGGTATTAAAGTCGATCTAGTAGTAGCAGGTACTTTCGTTGTTGTTGATGATGTCGATGATGTCGACGATGTAGTTACATTCACATCTATCAAATATTTTAATCGAATTCGCTTAAAAGATTATTTAAGGTATCTGTAAATTTTCAAAATAAGCGAAGGAAATGGTAGAATAATATGGCATCATTTATGAAATAGTTTATGATTTTAAATACTGTTGCAGATATTAAATAAATACTAAAAATTATTAAAAATTGTTTCTAAAGTGTAATTATTGTTATAGCATTATCAATTTAATGGCAAGGTTTATCCTATGGTTTTTTTATTCCACTAGTTTGAATTATAGGTATAGAATTCTTTTCAGATATAGGTATGTTGTTTGTAAGGTGCAAATCATACTACAGCCGCTTAAGCCGATCTTTTGTTAGTCTACAATTAAAAGTGTTATTAATATTATTATCATCAATATTAAGTAGCTATGTTGTTAAATTACGGTAATTTGCATTTTTCCTCTTTTAGTATGTTACCATATTAATACTTGAATGGTATAGAAAAGATTTAGCAAAATTTACTACTAACCAATTGTAAAAATTGCTATAGAAAAAGTAGGTCTAAAACTCTTTTATATACAATACTTCTTTATTACCCATGAAAACTTGAACATCTAAATACTTTGACTTAGCATTAATATACTACAAGCAATGAATTCCACTATATTAATATTCTAAAGCTTTTCTTTTAGATACCGTTATTGACTGAAACTGCTTAATATTGAAAGAACACTGCAGGATATTAACTAACAAAAATATAGTGCTATTGCTTTTATAATGTTTTTGCTTCAGAATACGTGGGCCTGTTTGGAATTCCTTTAAGATTGAATGATAGTGAACTGTAACATTAATTTATTATAATAAGAGCTACATCAGTTAATTTTCAATGTTATTAGCTAATTGGAATGATTTAATTCTGAAATGACCTTAGATAATGTTACCATTGACAGTAATTTATGCTAGAATAGTAACGGTGGCAATTACCATAATTAAATAATAAGCCAGATCTATGTATAGGCAATAAGAATATATATATCTTATTGACATTATTGCTCTCCTGCGATACTGCAACTAAAATTTTTTGCTGCGTTAGCAAATCTACAGTAGTAATAGGCATGGTAAAGGTTGCATAGTTGCATAATCTAGTGCCTGATTTATGTAAAGACTAAATTGTAGGCTGAAATACTGAAAATACTATGTAGATTACTAGCATGAGGAAACAAAATTCCAAGCATGCTGTTAAACTTGATTGTTTGTGTGAAAAATGCGGCATCGATATTTTACAGAGAGTTCATTAACTTACAATTAGTGTGAGTGGTATCTCTTTTAATTCTCCTTAACTGGCGGAAATTTGCTATAAAATAGAGTAAAATATCTTGTCATGATTAGCCTCGCTAGCTTACTCTGAATAATGATTTTTATTCGTAATGGAATACCTACGATCAACCCAACAAATTCAAATAAAAAGAAAATGGTATAAATTATTAACAGTTTGCTAACTACTTTTCATTCCTGATAGTTACCTCCTATCGCACGGATTTGGGTAATTTTAAAATTTACTAGCTGACCAAGTTGAATATTTATCAAATGCGGCGGATATGCACATTTTCCATTAATGGTTATGCCATGGCCCATGATTTCTTTAACCAAGGATATTACTTCACCTCTACAAAATATTGGCCCGACGATATACCTATGGTAGAGTCAATTTGTTCATGTTAATCAAATTTAAGGCTAGTGATTTTGTGCCTCTTAATTTATCATCTCAGCAATCAGACATTTCCTATAAAATAATTAAATTTTATAGGATAATTACACAGCCTTAATTAAGTAAATTAGCAGCAGGAAATCGTAGGTTTGCTTAAAAAATAGTAATTTTGGAACGTTGCATTTGGATATTATGAAATTAATGCTATTTTGGTTAGCAATAAATTTGTTGTAATATTGCTTTAAATGATAAAGTGTGGGTCTATAAGAATGAGTAAAAATTATTTGTAAACAGCTACTCGTGTCTTCTACCCGAGCTCTCGCCTGGAAATAAATACCATTAGACTTTTAAGGTAAAGTAGAACAAAAAATGCCACAGAACCTCTATTCCGGTGATCACTTTTGTTTTACTATAGCTAGAATAAAATCATAAATTCATGAGATACATCTGATAGCTTATCTTATATTTCATTTATGATACATTAGTGGTGTTTACATCTTATACTGATTTCACTCATATTTCACTATCATTTTTCTGTATCGAATGTACCACTTAATAAATTTCGAATTGCTATATTCAATTATTAAAAATATCGAAATTTTTACAAATTAAAAGAAGGTGTAGGAGATTTTAGATCTTATCTGCCCATGTTGGTCAACAATAGTATTACATGGGTTGATAAAAATTATTTTCAGGCATATAGTCAATTACACATACGCGTTACCATGTTGTAAGAAATGGAAAACTTTGATAGATTAAGAGAAGTATCAGAAGACTAGCGTATTTTTTAAATGTCATTGATACCAATTATTAACACATATGCTATATGGTCTATGATCTAAAAAATTAATTAGCCTCACCCCTCAATTTTATGAAAATTAGATTAGATTAGATTAGATTTCATAGTAAAGCTCCTTTCATTTTTCAATTAAGTGAATTGCCACTTATACATCATTATAAGTCATTAAACTATTAATTTCTAGACGCGATAAGGTCATTGTCTTTAATATACCATGTATTTATGCCCCTAGCCAAGATAGTAATCTTCTGTCTGTGTTTGTTAGTCTATGTATGTCCGATATTTATATCGGCACAGTTCACAAAAGTGAATTAAAAGGTGAACTAACTAAAATATTCGGTTGGTCAAATTATTTCCTTTGCCATATCGAATATTGATATCTAAGATTACATCTAGAAAAGTAAAATGATGACTGAAGCAGGATTGAATTAAATTTAGACTGTTGTTAAGCACTACTGCCAGATAAATATTTTTTCTTCAAATTTAAGTGGTAGGGATGATACTACCATGTGAAAGAACTCAATATATTTATTTCATCGTAATTAGTGCAAACTCCCGTCGCTTTGCTGACGGTTATTATGGTGTTGCCTTGCCATTAGGATAGTTTAAAGAGTACAGTAGTAGCTAGTACGGAGAATATCCATATTTGTAGTAGTGCTAGGTAAGGTAAGTAATGCCTTAACGTGGATGTTGTTTGTGATAGTCATTACATAATTGATATTGATTGTTATTGTGTGATAGATAGCAGTAAGATGATTCAAGTTCTAGTTGATGACAGTTGAATTAGACAACCTACGAGCTTAGATTAAGATTAAGTATGAGTAAGAGATTCAAAATATTTACTGATAGAAAAGCTATGTTAGGAACATCTCAGTTCGAGATGTTTCTCCTAGTAAGGTATGACAATAATACTGTTGTTTATAAATTAGACGGTTCCTATAAAAACGGGAACATTGGAGTTGAGTGGTGTGGTAAAAAGTTGTAAATGTATCTTTGCTAATAAAAGTTTCATTTTTACAGTATTTTGCTGTGTGTGTTAAACGTTAAGTAAAAGGGCGTTTAAGTCAGTAGCTACATATAGACTTTTACTGTACGTTACCTTGTCGCAGAAGTGAAATTGACACTAACCTATAATAAAGACTGACAACATTTCTGACATTTTGTGTGTCGAAAACAATTTCGAGAAAAAGTAAATAAACTATAAGACAAAAACGATATATTTAAGATAAATGATCAGGTATACATGTAACTTGTAGCGATCTAATGAATTTATCGCGCACGAAATTTTGAGGTTTTAAGACTATCGTATAGTTCGAGTAATTCTTTCATAGTAGTAATTGGCAAATAGTTGAAGTATACATTTCAACGGCCAACATTCTTATTTAAAAGATTCTATAGAAATATAAAGTATTTCAATTTACACCCGTTTTATACTTACAGATGGCGTAAATAGGGTGGATACGGCTCCGATCTTGCTACAAAATTTTTGCTAGAAGATATCATAAATGGAGATTTTTTCTGCTGGCAATATTTAAACATGTTAAAGAATGAAACAAATATTTGTAATTTCACACATCCTGAATTTTATTCTCAATAAAGTCTAAGGTTATTAAATGATGTGATTCTAACTCACCTGTACATTCGGGTAGCCAAATGCCGAAACGACGTAGAAATAAATTATTAGATATCTGTATCTAGATAAATTCATTTTCGACTTTTACCGTGATTCGGAGATATAAAAATTGGTGTAGAGGATACTTTTGCGATTTATCTCTAGTTGATAAAGTTGAAATGTTAAACCAGCAGATGATCTTTGGAGATTTCAAATATTAAAGGGTTGGTGTCATCGATTCATGTTCTGTCTATGTAGAATTGATTGTTGGTATTGCTACGGTTGTAGATTTGATGTATTAAATGGTTTAGGATAGTGTTTAATCCGAATTAAAAGTCATGAAGTATCATTCAATGGTAAATAAAAGTGAATGAAATAGATCATGGTAGTAAATCTAGATGAAAATTAAAGCAATTCGCTAAAAATTGCCATTAGGGTAATACTATAAGAATGTCTAGTTCTGAAATTATCTTGAATTGTAAGCTTACAGTTATTATAACTAAGACACTAACGGTAGCAATGGAATCGTATTGACATAAATTGTAATAAAATGAAAGGAGAATATAGATAGGCTGAACATAGAATAATAGCTTATGACGTCTGAAAAAATAGAAAGTAGAAAAAGTATAGAGGTAAAATGACTGTTTGCGTCACTAATAGCTAAAGATAAATAGATACGTCTGTGGTTTACTAATTTCAATTGAATCTTATTGGAAAACTGCAAAATAATGTATTAGTCTTACAATTCACCGAATTTTTCTGAGGATATCTAGGAATAAAATTATGGAATAAAAGCACCATTGTCTGTTTATTTATTGAGTTAATTTTTGCAATTGGCAAAGAATATACTAGCCAATACTAGCTAGATGGAGTTCATAGTCAATTTCTCATTTGCGATTGTAGCTTTCAATATAATACTTAATAATTTATTTGAGTCATTTTTACCGATCATTAAAATTTGAAGTTTATTTAACAATTTGGATACCATGAAAGGATCTAAACTCCTTAGTTATCAAAAAGTCTACGATATACCTTAGATTGCATAAACTAAAGGTAAAATTTTAATCTGACGCTAGTAACGACTAAGTTGTAATCTTTAATTTTAACGCTGGTGTAATTATACTGTAATTGTTCAGAGCTATACAATTCAACTTTTTTAATAAATATAATAGAGAGACTCTTGTTCACTGAACTGTTAATAAAAGTAGCTGGCAGCAAATTGCTTTTATCTAAAAATGCCAATTTTCTTTATTAGCTTCTGACTTTCAATAAAGTTTAAATTATAATTGATATATTAGTTTACTAAATAATTGAGTACATAAAATAGGTTTTAGTTGATAATTTTAGAATTAGTGGGTCAATTAACATATTGCACTCATAAGTATGAAATAAGAATGAAGTACATTTTAAAATATATACCATAGCGTAATCGATTTTAATTACTGAAAAGAATTGCAAATATACTTATAACAAATTTTCCTTATTGTGTCATTCTATTTAAAAAATTTATTAAGTGTTTGCTCATAACTAAACAGATTATAATTATTCTTTATAGCCAACCATATTAAATTGGCAGACCTACTGCTATAGAATCAATACAACATTTAGAAAGGCCACTTTAAGTGAAGAAGCATTATTTGCTGAGTTAGTAATAGAATTACACCTCAGGAATAGAAAATGCGAATTAATAATAGGAAGATAGCCGTAGGTGTGTGAGATTAACTAATTTGATCATGAATGACGTTATGAGTGAATCCTGTAATAGGTACAATAGCTATCTAAATCTGACATTGAGTATAGTGAAGATTTAAACAACATGCTTTCAGTTCGTCAAATGATAATACGGCTATTTTATGTCTTAGCAACGCCTGTCTTTGTTAGACGGTTGTATTAAACCATAATTACTAATTGCCATATCGTAATATATAATTAAAAAAATAGAAAGATGGAGCGATGGTAAGATTAAATGTAAAGCAAGCCTGATTTGGGAATCCACCATCCATAATTATACTCCTATGTAGTCTAAACTAGTATAGTATATTAGTTGTAGAAATACAGGGATGGGAGTGAGGTTGTAACAATCTAGTTTGGGATAAGCTATATCGATTTGGAAGTCATCTTCTGATGATATTATTTCATAAATGAGTTGCTATTCATGGCTGTTTTCCATATTTTTGATAATCATACATATATAATTAATTGATATGAAATGTTCCGATATAATGTTGTGCTGCATATGATACATTAATATGATGATATGAAATAGCAATTCTCAAATAAATCATTATATGAGTTAGCTTAATTCTTTCTCTACTTTTTCGCAACTTTGCACAGCTGCATCTTAAGTGACTTACTTAAAGATTTAGTTACAGTAGATGTCTTATCAACGTTGATTTTACTGTCGACTGGTATTGAATGCATGACTATAAAACTATAAATTAAGTCTACATGCGACTCTCCGCTATCGTACTCCTCCTATACGGAGGGTTTTACGCTACAAAATGGTGATATAGAATTGTAGTGAATCTTTTAATGTAATTGGTATTAATTTTGCATCTGTGAGAATAATAGCTTCCTTGTTTTAAATTTTATTTAAAGATAATGTAGTATAGTAGTAAATCTTTTACCGTGATGCTGATAACAATTCGTTCTTCTGGCTTCAAATTTATCTTTTGCTTCTTGTGCGATTTTAAATTGTAGAACAACCTCCTTTTCAAAGGTAACTATTGATTTAACATCGACTCCTGGTTACTTTCTACCGATATGACGGGAACTACACCAGCTATACAATGCAGTTTAGTTTAAAAATACTCTTTATTTCATATTTGACCAAATGATTCATATTCACTTTTGCTGGCAGCGTTATAATAATGCTTACAATTGATTTCTTTTTTGTATTGTAACCTGCCTTCCTCCATGAAAAAAATTTTGACACTATTTCTACCTTCTTGTTTTCTTTATTTTTTTTAAGGGCCTGACTGTAGCCTACGTGATCTCGTTTTGTCCTATTCAGTATGTTGAAGCTATTCGTAAGACTAAGAAATGGGTTCGCATGATTGACTCTGACTAATCCTAAGTCAGTATCCAGTACTAGGAATATCCATAGTATTGTACATACGCATATGATGCTTATACATATACTTTACTTGTACGATTTAATTAAAGCTATTAGTAAGTTTTAATTAAAGATATACTTGAATGGCATTAGGAAAAATTTATTTACCGAATTTAGATGAAAATTTTATCCCACGTAAATATCGGTGCATAAATTGTATTTATTAGTAGATTGCGACTGATTTTCTTATATTGAGATCTATACGTGACTCTGTTCGGTAAAATGTTCGTGTACTCCAGTATGTAGAAACCGAAATATATATGTATGTAGCTGATTATTCGATTGTCTTAAATCAATGTTTCTATCTAACTTGCTGCCATATGTGATGATATTGACAACGCCATGAACTGAAGAGTTGGTAGGACAGTAGTAATTTGTGTATAATCAGGTGATATATTAGGAAAGTACAGTTAGAGGTAGGCATATATTGCATTTGGTATATCATAATAACTATCTACTCCTATTCATTCACTCAACAAAGGTGCCATAATATTATGCATTGCTTCCGCTGGGTAAGAAAAGGTTTACAATTCGCAGTAAACAAACGGGTCTACAGTACGATATAGCATTTCTAAAGTTTACAGGAGGGCTAGTTCAGTAAAATAGCGAAGTTCCGATTTTTGTTCTATACATCATATAAATAAGTATATTTCTGTATTTTGAAATGTACTCATATATCTGTCACAAGATAGACTCTCTCTCACTCTATTCTACTGCCTCACAATAAACGTTTGGCCAAAACTTGTTTAATAACAACATAAAAGTCAGTTTTATTACAGTTTACAAAAAAAGTTCGTATAAGCTAGATAGCCGTAGTTATGTAATGTAGCTGTAAGCAAATTCCCTCGTGTATTATCAAGGTAATGTCCCTCTACAGTGTTTATGAAAGCTACGTTAAAGAATTACACTTAGCCTACGTGCAAGCGAAGCATTCTCTCTCACGTACATTCGCACGATTAATCATATAGTCTTGTTATTCTGTGATCTCTTCTTTTGGTCATTTTTAGTAAATAGAAAATCGAATAATTGCTAGTAAAGTGCAGTGGTACGTCAAATGAGTCAAGGTGTAAATATGAAAGGAAGCACGATCTAGTAGATTGAATTCTGAGATCTTAAAATTATTCACTGAAACGTTTCGCACTCTATCAGTATAGCTGTAAGTAAATACGTATAACATCACTTGAGATATTTCAGCGATAAATCTGGAGCATCAGGAATAAGATCGAACTTTTTACCATGTCGAATATAAATGGACAAATGATTGTACGTTATTACATAAATGGACTCATACTGTATCAGTTATTAATAATATTATTATTTACTTGAGGAGGTTACTCTTACAATCTACCATGGTTCCATTGTGGATTGAAGCGACTTTGTTACCATAATTAGATTGAGCTCAATATACAGTATTTCAGAATGGTAGATTCCTATAGGTTTAGGATAAATATAGATTAGATTCATGCTAGTTGTTAATTAGTCTTATAACTACTGTACTATTCTAAAACACTCTACTAAAGGCCTTTTAGAAATCTAACTAATCTTCACATCCAGTCCTAATCTATTACTTTGTTGATACTTCTTTAAAATAGATATCACCATCGGACGCCTTGACTACGTAGGTTTAACATACACTGTCTTTACTTTAGGATGGCAAAAGACTATGCAAGTCCATGAACTACTCAGTCAGTCCTTGTCTGATTGACTAATCTTAATTACTGTATATCGACACAATGGAAATCCGCGCAGTCCTATGTAAAGGCATTAAGAGGCTAGCCAGGCAACTGGATTTCTTTCTAGTGGTCCGTGGCTATTTCCATGGTTGAAGTTGGATAATGCCGGGATGATGTTCAAATCTTACAACTTTAGTCTATTGATTTACATCAATACTGCCCTATCATTTGCACAGCATAGTCTGCGAATGATGTTTCTTATAATATTAGTTGATATTAGACTCCGTACACAGTTCTATATATCTACACTCTGTAATGAGAAGTCGAATGGAAGAATAGAAGGTATAATTTGTAAAAGTAAATGAGCCAAACAAATAAAAATATTCCAACATATTTTGCTAAGATATTTTACAGTATCAAAGCTAGTTAATGGGAGGTTGGAGTGACTTCTAAGTAAGATGCACGTACTATACTTGCACCTTTTACTCTATATTAATTTATTTAATTTATTTATAAACTAAGAGCTGCCCTGCTCAGATCAGTAGTGTTTTAAAATTTAAATTTCTTGATTGTTATAAGGTATATATTATAATTATACCACCCCTCCAAAAAAGAAGAAAATTGGACGGTATTATTTTGGATATATAGATTATCTGAGTAACATACATAACATACAGTACCATATATAGTCCTGAAATTTAAGTTTCTTGATTATTAAAAAGTATACAATATAATTATATCAATCCCCCCAAAAGTGAACGATACTATTTTAGATACAATCACACTGTAGTAACATACATAACATACAGTACTGTATAATGTATATAGTCCTGAAATTTAAATTTCTTGATGACTATAAAGCATTCGTTATAATTATACCAACCCTCCCCCTTTCCCTCCTCCCCCCCCCCAAAAAAAAAAGTTGGAGGGTATTATTTTTGATATACACCGGTAGATTATCTTCAAGGTTTTATCATCAGCTACGGTTCACTAGCATACTTTATTCTATGCAAACCATTACACATACATAATATACAGTACTGTATATACAGTAATCCCGAAATATAAATTTCTAGATTTGTCATAAAGTATACATTTTAATTGTACCAACAAATTGGACGGCATTATCTTAGATATATAGATTATCTGCGTGAAACACATAACACATACAATTAACGTACTGTATACTCGTATAGTCCTGAAATTTAAATTTCTTGATTGCTCTAAAGTATGCATTATAATTATATCCCCCCCCCCCTCAAAACAAAAAAAAACCCCAAAAACATTAATACTGCCAATTACATTGATCTTGATCTCAATATGGAATTTGACGGACAAGAATGGAGAATGGTTGTTCGAACGGCCTAATTTTTTAGAATAAGTCTGTGTTGACGACTGTGCTTCAAGTATTGGCGTACTGCAGCAATATTAACAAAATTGTTACATCGTTACTGACTCAGTCAGTACTGTCCAGTCATTTGCAACTTGTCTATGCAAACTTTGTTTCAGAAAATCGAAGATTTCAGCCATCACTAATACTGGGTTAGGTAAGTTAGCACTCCATGTTTTTTTCTGAAGGCTGTGGCTGGTCGATGACGGGAATGGTAGAGTGTAGAGTGTAGAGTGTGCGCCGTACCGTACTGTAGCCGACTGCTGTAGTGTACTCACTGTCATTACAGTATACGACAGCAGTGTAGAAATGACTAGTTTGGAACACAATTGTCCAATATACTGTACTCTACAGTACATTGTCCAGGGCAGCCAATCGTCAACTTTTCTCGGCCTTGAATCGATTTTTGTTTGCTTCGCGATCATTTTCATCAAATCCATTGATTAGTAGTATTATTATTATTTTTTGCCATCTATATCAACAAAATCGATATTATTGGGCAAGGTAAGAATTCAATTGTGGACTATTTCACTGGGGAAAGTTGGAATCTTTCTTATATTGTTGATATTTTTCCTAGAAATACAGTAAGGATAATGTCAGGTAAAGTTGGAGAACAAGAAAAGGTTGTATGGCCTCGGAAGAGTGATGACTACGAACTGCGTGAATTGATAGGTATTCTCGACTATCCTTTAAGAGTAGAATGAAATGTTCACTAGCTCAGGAAATAAAGAATAATTGCCCATATAGTAAAGCTTGAGCGAAAGTGTTTTCTTAGTGCCGTCGTTTATGATTAAGCTAAATGAATAGTGTACTACACGATCAGTGGTAAAGTAAGATAGGCAAATGCAATTCAAATACTGTACTACAAGTTGTAATCTACAGGGATTATCACCTCATTTCCTAGTCCGATAACTTGAACGATTAGAATGATTGCATTAATTAATAAATATTTTACGAATATGTACTGAAAGTAATAATTGCTACGAGTTTGTTTTGGAGCGAAAGATAGTTTCTTTTGTAGGAGTCTATGTTGAGTAATACCACAATACTTGAAGAGATTCTTCATCATGATCTTATAAGCACAAATTACATCTAGTCCTTTCTAAAGCTCCAGATATGTTTCTTATACTGGAGTCTATGTTGAGTAGTGCCAAAATACTGGAAAATTATTCTTTGCCATAATCTTAAAACTGACAATCGCTTGTAGTCTTTCATAAATCGAACGATATTTACTTAGATAGTACTTGTCTAGGAGTCTAGTTAAGTAATACTACAGTTCATGAAGATACTCTTCGTCATTGTCTTGCAAGTACCAATTCCTATACTGGTAGTCCTTGATAAAGCCAAAGATATTTTCTTATACAGTACTTGTATAGAAATCTAGTTGATTAATATCAAAATTCTTGAGGTTACTCTTTATCATAATCATAAAAGTACGAATGACTTGTAGTTCTTCATAAAGCTAAGGATATGCTCTTATGTACATAAGATTCTAGTTGAGTATCAACAAAATTCTGAAAGATAATATAGTCATCGTCATTACCGTAAAAGTACAAATTACTTCTAGTCCTGCGTAAGCCTAAACGATATTTTCTTATACAAGTGTAAGAGTCTATATTGAGTAGTATCAAAGTCCTTGAAGATACTTTCCATCATTCAGTTATCTTTAACATGAAATAGCTACATAATCTTGAAGCAACAGCCTAGTCCAGTATGTTGGATTGAAAATCAATTCCTGATAGGATACTAATGGCTGAAAGAGAGACTGTGAATTAAAATTGATAGTATACTGCACAGGAGGGTTTTCTATCTAGCCATTTCGCTGTACGATCATGGTTGGAATGACAGTAATAGACCATGAATTGCTATAACTTGTATTAATTCTGTAATTCGTCGATTACAATGGAGAATTGCTATAGTAAAAATAATTGCTTAAGATATTCCAGTAGTGTAGCTACTGTACGTAGTCATTTTACCGTTCTAGGGAATGACACCGACTATGTAGCAAGTCTTTATGTAATTTTGATACTTCACGTAATGTACACTTGCTGGAGAAATAGTGGATATTCTTGAATTCAAATAAGAAGTAACAACTTGGCAATGTATTCTATAGTTCAGTTGTTTACAACATTTGGGAATGTATTGAAGATTTCAATTATGCATACACGTATTGACTCAAGTCTCGTAGTTAATGGAGTAATCCGGAACACAGCCTAGACTTGTGATTGATGCGTGCTCATCGCTATGCGTCTTACGAATAGTAATTACTGGGATCAATGTTGGATCAATGTTTACTACATCTCGAATGCCATATAGTATTAATTTCGTTTTCAACTGAACACTTTGTAAATAATGTCTACTCCTACTAAACTAGTACAGAGCAAAAACGTTGAAGTAGACGATACTGCCACAATAGTACGACTTGATTGGCTTGAATCCATGACTTATTGTTTATATTATACTAGCAATATATGCATTTTCACTTAATGCTACTGATTGTAAGATAATGATTAATGATCATACAGTAAGTTAGTGATTCAAGAAAAATGTATTAATAATATACTTATTATTATTTAGTTAGTGTCAAGTTTTAAGTTTGTTATAAGACAAACAATTGCACAATGTATTATACGGTAAAGGATTGAGTGGAATAAAATGACGGTATGAACAGCTTTCTTGAAATCATGCTTCCATACGGCTTATCCTAGTCTAATATCTGAATACAGGTCAAGGTGCTTCTGGTTCTGTTTATGCTGGTTATTGCAAACCCATTAAGCAAACATGTGCCGTTAAATGTATCAATCTGGAAATGTGTGGTATTAAATTAAATGAAATCCAGGTATATTAACAGATTTTGCATACTTATTATTTTCTATCGTTAATCTACACTGCTATGTATTCGTCATTGCAATTTAATTGTGTAATACTACATAAGGAGACATTACCAGTAATAATTCATAATTATTTATCCTTTCCTAATTTTGACTGCTAACTATAATTATAAGAATTAATGTACATTATCTGAATATAGAAGTGTCTCAATGCTTTTAAATGATCTCTAGTGAGAAATCTAACTAATGAATTGTTATATAAATAATATTATAAGTTTAAAAATTAATGTATATTATATGATAATATAAGGATCAATGCTTTTTTAAAATAATCTCTAGCGAGAAATCCAACTAATGAGTCAATGCAATCATACTAACGTCACTAACTACTATACTACATTCGTGGTAAAAGAAGAATTATGGCTCGTTATGAGATTGTTAGCTGGTGGTAAGGCTAAATTAATATTATTAATACTAGTTACGTGACGATACATCTGATGCTGGAATTCATTCATAACTTCAATCATTGGCCAAACTTATTATAAATAAGAACTATTCTACGAATTACTTTAATAGTAGACTTGCTATATTTACAATTTTACTATACATACATACTAAAGTACTGTATATCTAACAATATTTAAAGTATTGCTTGGCTGCTGCTGTTAGACTCATCTAGTGTACATCAACTGCAGTTCTTGTATTGTACAGGATGTATTACCGTTATAGTAACGATAACGTTTAATCTTAATATTTGTACTTCCTTAGGATCGATACGTGATATCATGGTTTCCATGAGTGAGAAATCTAATAAGCCATTAGCTGGTATTTTAGATGAAGTTGTTATAGCCACTCTGCTACGTGATGTTTTGAAGGGTTTAGAGTATTTTCACAACAACAATCAGATTCATCGGTTAGGATTCTAATGCTACTCTGGACTTATGTTACTAAATATTTTTTGTATACAAGGCACATAATACATATTTTGGGTGATTAGTACTGCATTGATAAGATAGTTATTATTCATGTTTGACGTAGAGATAGTGTGAACTTAATAAGTTACCGAGTAATTCGTGTGCTTGCAATGAAAGATGTAGTTTCAGTGAAAAGTATTGAAATGAATTTTTATCAATACTGTGCGACTTTATTTCAGTGATGTGAAGGCAGGGAATATTCTCTTAGCAGCCGATGGCACTGTACAACTTGCAGGTAAACTCATCATCACCGACTAGCTGTATTCTGCTACCACTCTAGTAGATAAAACTACTGAACATGTAGCGGACTGAATGTTTTCTAGAGATAGTAAATCTGCTTGCATACGGTGTAATATGATCTTGTCGATTCTATCGGTAGACTTTGGAGTTAGCAATTGGCTTAGTGAGGAATCCGATAGATCCAAGCAGAAAGTAAGAAAAACATTTGTTGGCACACCATGTTGGATGGCACCCGAAGTTGTAGACTTGGTCAGTGAATAGTTTGTCTAAGCAATATACAAACTTTAATGATAATTTTACATATATCAAATCAGTGCTAATATATAAAAATCAAACTATTCTGGTTCACAAAATGAACGATAAGTTGGCTCGTTAAGTTCACAACAGAGTTTTAGTTCTTACCGGTGGCATCATAGACACTGCAATATTATGATATACTTAGTTCTAGTAGATAATAGTGCAAGATGGTAGATGTCTGTGGTTGAATTTATCTAAACCTATTAAATATGTTGTACAGGGATCTGGATATAACAGCAAGGCTGACATCTGGAGTATTGGAATAACTGCTATCGAGTTAGCAACTGGAACCGCTCCATTCTCGAAATATCCGGCGATGAAGGTCTGATATTTGCGATAGACTAATCTGCTTTTACGGCATGACACTAACGGTACGATACTTGGATAAAATTTAATTTTTTTGTGTCATAATTACAGGTACTGATGTTAATATTGAATAACGATCCGCCAACTATTGAAACGAATCAAGATGAACATAAAGAAGACCTAAAGAAGTACTCCAAAGTTTTTCGAAAGATGGTAGAATCATGCCTTCAGAAGGAACCTACTCGGAGGTAGGAAAACATTCATTACACTGATATGCTCTTGGATCCTTTATCTTGATAGTATTCTAAAAATTAAATTTCACTTAGCTGTTTACAGTAGCGTATAATTGAAGGAGACTAAATGTGAACAATGCTATAATATTTTAGAGCATGGAGCAATCCTGCGTTTATGTAATTATATAATTAATAATACTCATTTCGCTTCTGTATACCGCTTCATTAGTATGTGACACTGGGTAAATGGGAATATTTTAGTTAGAAAGCCGTTACAAAACAGTAGGCACTATGTGAAATGGAAGGTCTACTGTAGCCAAGGATAGGTTACTGTAAAATCCTTTGCTATGGCATAAGTTTCGTATACATTAATGTTAATATACAGCAACAACTAATTTACCATCTATTAAATAGTGACGCATGATAAAGGGTTATGTTTGGAAGGCGGTACTTTTTCGCATTACATTTGTAATTTATAATGATGTCGTGATACTTTGTCTGCCAACTATCTTATATTATGTAAAATTTTTATGCCTTAAATAACACCGAGGTACAAGATCGACATAATTTTTTGCAGCATAAAGTTAGAAGTTGTCACAGAATCTTGCAAAATCTTGCACCTCAGTGATATATAATCTTCTGCAAGCTACTTTAGATACGTTTTGTAATCAAATGAAAATATTTAATCTAGGCCCGATGCTACCGAACTGTTAAAGCATCCATTTTTTAAGAAAGCAAAGGTTGGATATATTCGTTTGATAAATATCGGGATTGTTGTGTGTCTATGATTGAGTAGCGAATAAATGTATCGATGTTTTAGGATAAGGATTATATTAAAGAGCATCTCCTTAATAAAGCTCCTACATTAGAAGAAAAAGAGAATAAGGTTATATTACGTTGCTTTTCAAACATTAAATCGATGCCTTTTGACTCATAAATTTGCTCTCTTATACAACAATTGATAAATTATAGCATGCATAGGCAGGAGTTGATCAAATAGGTTATTTGATTTTGTTGTGTAACTGGGTTAACTACTTGAATACCAATAACATATTGAAAATAAGAATTACTAATGCGATGTTGATATCTGTGCAAAAGTAATGCTGAAACATCTTACGATTACACTAGATGAAAGTTAAGAAAAGGGACTACAGACGTGGAGCGAGCGGTGTACTCCATCGAGCCGAAGATGGAAGTTGGACTTGGTCGGATGGGGAGGACTTTGATGAATCCTCTGCTGGGGCTGTGTCAAATCTGGTATGGTTTACGATCCGAACAATTTTATAATTCATCAAAGGATTGTGCTCAATAATTTGGTGATAGGCTATAAACGTAGTGGCCGGAATATGACAGTATTTTGTTAACAATTAAACCTAGCGGTACTAATGTATAACTTGCAATGTACTATCTGATATAGTCTAGCACAAAGAGTTCTTCTAATGAAGTAACGAAAAACCTGAAAGTTGAACCAAAGAAGACGAAACCTACCAAAAATTTGTCATTTGCAGATATGAAAAATCCAACTACTAAGACGCCGCCTGTAGATAACAAGCCGAAGCCTGCCTTACATGAAAGTATGTTATTAATTCAATAGAAAAGACTTACTAAAACTTATAAAATCACTAAAAGCCTTTCTTAATTATTGTATTTGGTTCCTGCAAAAGTAGTGTTTCATAATGTCGTCAATATTTATTAATTGCACAGAAAAAATACCGCAAAATGATAGTAAAGTGGATAAAGAGAAAGATAGTGTAGGCGTTCAATCTATAGCATCTGGTACAAGTGCTATGGCAATTTCTAAATCTCAAGAAGCAACTCAAAATGCTTCACACTCAGGAAAGACGACCGAAACTGGAGGAAGTGTTGCGATGACAAAGGAGAAGAAACAACCGTCTCGGCAAGAACCAAAGCCAGTTTCTGAATCCTCCCGTTCAGTAGGGTTTATTAAACCGACTAACGATTTTGTTACTGTAGTTAACTGATTTCCTGGAAGGGCCAATTAATAAAGTGATAATTCTACCTTAGGTTACAGTTAATTATCCTGGTATTTCGATGCCGAAACATTATACATTAAAACTCAAGCTTAGGTTAATGATATATTACATTTACCATTGCTATTTGGAAGCCTTGAAATTAATGTTAATATTATAATATAGGACTCCAAAGGGAGGTTTAAATGAAATTGAATTTGAATTTGTAAAAGACAAAGGTAACCATATTGATCGGTCTTTATTTTAAAATTGAGATTAGCATATTCAGATAACATATTATGTAATGATAAGAAGTATTCTGGTCGGGTTGCAATAGCTATATTATTTAGGAGAGAAGATTTACATATATTACGATAAAATTGTTGAAAGAATATGTGTTCTTTTAGATACTATTGAAAGTATAACTAATGAACTAGAATCAGCCGGCTTAGTTGGCAAGCAAGATCTTCAATCTGGTACGGACAGTGTTCGCAATTATTTACGCTTGATACTATACGTAATGTTGTACATTTTCATCTCTTATACTGTAATACAATGAATAGCTCCATTTTAATTTCTTGTAAATAGTTGCAATGGCACTGGATAAAGCAATTAAGTCTTTTCAGACGATAAAGTCATTGAGATTTCCAATGGTGCGTCGTAAAAGGAGATCGATTATGTACTAATTTGTACATATTTCTCATTTTTATAATAATTATGCACTAAGTAATTAACTGTTGAAATATTTATTTTGAAAGGTAATTGGTCCGGATGTTGTAAAAGATGAAGGACGCTTAATTGGATGCGGACAAATTGATATTGTAAAGGTGTTATAGTAGTGAAACAATCTTATAAAGAGAAGGACTGTATAATATTGGCAATAAGTGATTTGGCAATATCCGTCTGAGTCATATGAATTTTGTTAATTAATTACTTATGACGCTCATGTAATATGCATTTGTAGTACGGTAAATCATCAGTTTTATATATACAGTATATTAGATTCAGAAACTAGCGAGTACAGCGTAGAATACACTATTTTTTTTATTGATTTAAGGATGGCACAGTCAATATCTAATCATAACCTTTGGTCATAGCTTATTACTCACCATCAATAACAAAGCTTTTAGCCGAGTCTTAAGGGATACAATCTTTCGTTTGTGTAATAAAGACGCCGTGAAAAATGTTGATTTGCAAAGAATATTTCCAAATGTATGAATTGTCTCTAATCGATTGCAAAAAGATTTTTCTGATTGGACACTTTAATAAACGTATTTACAAGTCAAGATTGTAGCTAGCGTTGATAGTGCGTTTGAAAAGAGAATCTTCAATTTTATGTTTATCATTTTAAATTTGTATTGACGCAAACAGGAAACTGATACACGTATATCTGATAGATATCGTAGATATGTCAAAAGGCGTTATTCGTTTGTATAGCAACATTCTATGTTGATTTATACAGCATACAGTAGCTGCGTGCTCATTTGAGTATTTGTCTTTACAGTGCAAGGTTATATTAATAAGCGCGTATTTTATAGTTTAGGAAACGTAGTTAAAACTTATGCTTACATCTATCTATTGACCTTGAAAGTTTACAAATGAAAATAGATGGATTACAGTTATTGCTATAATGTTTCGCATCTTTTTTAATGCATTGTATTTAGAAATTATTTTTTTCCGGTGCTACGAATTAATTTTTAATTCAAAAAATTGAGGCTAATTTAATTTTTAGATGGCCATAAAATAGGCATTTATCTGATTTATTCGTACAGAATTTAAAATCATAAAACAGATTTAATTTATACTTATTCGATAATTCATATTGTACAATTGACATTCATCTCATAATGGTAATACATTAATAAACTTGATTACATTGCATAAGAAATTTGTTGACTTGTAATTTTAGTGTTTTTCAGTTTAGCGGACCAAATTTAGTGCTGCATGCAAGTGCACATGTTAAGATTACATAGTATAAAAGAACAAAAGTTTATCTGTTCCTCGCGCTATACTTTTTAAGGTATATTGCAATCACAAATACGAAATGACCTTGCACTTTATCAAGCTGTATCGAACTCACTTCAAACACTACTAGAGAATGACCAATAATTAATATGTGATGAAGCAACATAAAAATTATCATGCATAACATCGACATATCTACAAAAAGGTGTGATATTGTTTTATATTTTCCTAGTTTAATTTATACTTGACCCTATTCACTTTCAGGTATGAGTATAAATTACTTTCAGCGAAAGTAAAAACTACATGGTACTGTACATAAGCAGGTATAAAGTTTATCGACTTATAGTTGATAGTATCTCAAGCAAAGCTTACTTTGGTAGTATTAAGCAACTCTTGAAATTAACAGCGGCGGCGATCCAAGTGTTGCTTTCAGTTTGAATTGAGAAATAAAGTTTAATTGAAAGAAATACTGTTATAATGGCCTATATAACAACGTGGTAACATATTTTTTCCTGTAGCGATGTGTAACTCCAAGCACTAAAACGCTATCCTATTAAATGAAGGAAGACGATATCAGCCTGATAATTGCAATGTGGGCTAGCATTCTTAAAATGTAGCATGCTTTAAAAAAAACAAAAGTTATTATAGTACCTTAATAGATAGAGCATACAGATGATTCAAACTAACGTGGTTAGGCTCGGGCAATATTGTCGGCTCTCCCTATTGAGTATAGATATCATAGTACATCAATAGAGTATGATATGTGAATGTTATTGTAAAAATTAACATACAGTATAAATGGACAAAGTAAAGACATATATTAGGTTATAAGCTCTATTACAAAATGATTACCTGTAATGGCGGGTCTTGATTTAATAAGACATAATGGAGATGTGGTGGCAAGACTGGTGGGGCAGCCTGAGAACCCTGTAGAGTAGCTGGTATTTCTGAGGTGTAACTTCCATCTGGTGAACTGGAAAGCTTACCTGCACAATAATACAAGTAATAAATGTACAAACAGGCATATCAGAAATGATCAACTTGTTCGTTCTTATACGAGTCACTATCACAATAATATGGAATAAGTAGATACAGACATGTAGATCGTTCATTGTTAAAAAAATTGAAAACAAAGTCGATCGTGATAGTTGGTTTTCTATACGTTCTTCTCGTTACCTGAGTCAGCTTCGATTGAATCTAAATCAAAATCGCTCTTTTGCACATTTAAAATATTGTTGACACCACCATAAGGATCAGGTATGACTTTCTACAAATTGGGTATCCAATATAGACAAGTTATTAGATGAAAATATACCCGTATGTAGATGCGTATTAATATCCGTATTCTCTTAGTTGTTAAAATAAGTGTACATTTAATAAATAAGAAATGTGATACCACATTGCATGTAAGAGCTGAAATTGACTACAGTGACATAGAAACATTTTAGCGTTGTTCCAATTAGAACGCTACAGTATTATGGCAGTTGGTTATAATTAATTCGTCTTTACAACAGGAAGAAAAGAGTATCGACTACTTTATTGATTGTAATTTTCTATTAATTAATTATACTGTAGATATTGGTGATACTCACTTGATTCTCATCGTGTCTCCAATTTCCATCAATAAAATATTTAAACTGATGTTCACCTTCAGGGATATCAAGAATGGTAACAAAATTGCTATGACTTTAGCCATGATGGTATAGTGCGAAGTTAAGGTCACATTGGAGGAATGAGCAAGAGGAAAGAAAGTAGAAAATGAGTTTTAATTATCTTAACAATTATTGGTACGCTCTATCTCAAAGTGATACCGTAACAATATGGGTAGCATGAATGACGCTAGTAAAGTAAGTATTTTTTATTTATGGTTAGCATCGATTGGTCACTTGTACATGGTGATTTATTGACATTATTAGCTCATATCAAGTATTTTATCGCCAACAGTAACTCAAAGTGTAAGTTTAAGTATTCAAGTAGTCTAAAATTGGACGTTATGACGTGATGGTTACCTCTTGACCAAAGGTATTTTCTTCCAATTGGTGAATGTTCCTGCAACGTAAACACTGCTTCCACCTCCTGACCAACGAAAGACCGTAGGTAGTTTATCCTTGTCCACTTCTACTACAAGATCGGAACTGATCGATTCATTATGCGGTGAGCTTTTAGAAATAAAGAAATCGTTTTCTTCTAACGGTGAACCAAATACTGGAGAAGATGGAATTACTTCTTCTTGCTTAATTTTAGTCGTCACGTTCGCAGTTTGTGGACGTGTTTGGGTTGTCTTCGAGCGTGGCCGAGCTTGTACAGGTGCTGTGGTCTGGGTAGGACTGGTAGGGCTTGATGGTGGAGCTGATCGTGATGAATTTGATTGCCCCATACTCTCTTAAAAATTGTCTAACGATTAAAAATAGCAATAAACAAGGAAATCATCAGTCAATTTACAGCTTCGATTGGAAGGCAAACGATTGAAGGAGTGGAAAAAAATTGTCAATGAGTTTTAACGTATTGTATTAGAAATGACAATAACCCCTACTAGTACAGTACAAAAAAAAATCACTTTTGATTACTTAACAACGGATTCAAGCGATTGGAGCGATAGTAAAGCGGTCAAGTCGTTGTGATGCGATTATACCGTATGGCATGGCTGTGCTGAACTCAATGTCAGCCGTCCGCACGTCTGTATCCAGAAATCGCCAATTGCTATTTGCCAGTAGTATCCCCCATCTACTGATCGCTTTGCCAATGGACTACTAGAAATATTACAGGATGGGAGTGATTTCTAGTAGTCCAAGGTTTGGCTTATACAGGACTACATCGATTGTGATGCTATTCATATAACGAAGTACAGATGGTAGCCGATCGAAAAAAGGAACTTTATTACTGCGACAGATAAATCCAGCTAATATACTGTAGAGAGATCAATGACGATACCAAGCGAACCTCTCAATGCAACAACTAACTTTGGCTGCATCGAACACATATGAGTATAGAGGTGGATACTCGTAACAGGCATACAACATTGATCACAGCTGTGATAGAAACGAGTCCAAAAATCTTGTCCTAGAAAATTTTTCAAACGTCCACTGACAGTTTAAAAGGTTTCTAGAGCACTAGATCCATTGTCATGATATCGGGGATTGCTGACAATTTTTCATGAGGTGTCTGTCCAGCTGGTTCAGCAGAAGCACACCCTACACTGTGTACAGTAGTGTGTACTGATACCATGCTGATCAGGTCTATAAATCAATACAGTCCAATTGAAAGCTCGATGATGGCAGACTATGATAAGTTGTATGACATTTTTCTACTAATACGAGCAGTGTTGGAATAAAACACATTTGACTAGGCTGGAATTTTATACAGAATTCTTGAGTTATTTCAACATCGAAGATTGAATGGCACCACTTGAGCACAAGTACAGTAAAGTGCCATACAGATCGACTATCGGATTCTCGGATAGGAGCAAGAAGCATAGGCTACAGAACCCCAGAGGTACGGACCAGTGACGTATAAATCAATACAGTACAATTGAAAGCTCGATGATGGCAGACTATGATAAGTTGTATGACATTTTTCTACTAATACGAGCAGTGTTGGAATAAAACACGTTTAACTAGGCTGAAATTTTATACTGAATTCTTGAGTTATTTCAACACTGAAGATTGAATGGCACCACTTGAGCACAAGTACAGTAAAGTACCATACAGATCGACTATCGGATTCTCGGATAGGAGCAAGAAGCATATAGGCTACAGAACCCCAGAGGTACGGACCAGTGACGTCCCATGCACGGTCCTGTTCTAACAGCGTAATGTACCATGCTACTGTACTGTTTTAGTAGTCTGTCCTAACAGCGTAGTGTACAGTAGGAGCAAGAAGCATAGGCTACAGAACCCCAGAGGTACGGACCAGTGACGTCCCATGTACGGTCTTGTCCTACCAGCGTAGTACTGTATAGCTGTGTAGTAGCAAGAAGCATAGGCTACAGAACTCCAGAGGTACGGACCAGTGACGTCCCATGCACGGTCCTGTTCTAACAGCGTAGTGTACCATGGTACTGTATTGTTTTAGTAGTCTAGCAGTGTAGGAATGGAAGGCACATGGACGTTCTAGAGCAAGAAGCATAGGCTACAGAACCCAGAGGTACGGACCATTGACGTCCCATGTACGGTCCTGTTCTAGCAGCGTAGTGTACATGGTACTGTATTGTTTATCAGTGTAGGAATGGAACGGTCCTGTTGTAACAGCGTACTGTACCATGGTACGGTATTGATTTACTAGTCTATCAGTGTAGCAATGGAAGGCACATGGACGTTATAGCACCTACAAGACGGTGAGGGTGGGGGGTGATACTACCATCGTGACGCTCGCAAGCTTCATTCACTTGCTATCGTCAGTGACACCACTTGAGCACAGACGACTTTGCATACCGACAACAGAGCTGTCCATAGGCATTGGCTGCCATTGGGTTTTGTCTTGGCCGAAGCCTGTGGATCAAATTGATTTATTCCTGTAGAAATCGAAGTGAAAGTCCAACAAGATGCCAGAAAAAGAAAAAAGAAACCAAATGCCAAGCTATTCCAATTTAACATGTAAGGATTACGGTAGACTGGCTGCAACGCAAAATAAGGTATTTACTGCAGAAATACTCCTTCAATAGACCTTTGAATTTCTCTGAACAGTCCCTGCTCGATGTTGCAAATATCTCAATCGACCTGGGAGAAAATATCTTCAGTAGTGGACTTGGTAGTTTGTAGTCCTTGGACTAAGAGAGAGTCAGTGTGTGTTGAATAGCATACAAATGTTGGTATCCTTAGGATGAGTTGGAGACTGTTAATGCCATTGAAATGGACTGCATCAAAGATGATACACTAGCTGCTGTTTGCATGCATGTAGACTCATACTGTACAAGTGTCTATTCGATCTTAATACAGTATAGGACAAAGATAGCGATCGTATGCTCCAATGGCTTACCTTCTCCTAAGTTGTTGATACAATGAAAGTCAGTGGATAGCTTGACATTGATTACAGTCTGCTTAAATGACATAGTTGCTCTTTACCTCGATGATCGAGCTGTTTATTCGTATCCAATTTGGATTGTAGCTCATTTCGTGCTTGACTAACTGTGTATTGGTTTCGTAGACTGTAGTATAGCATATACAAGAATGGATCATACTCCAATAGTTCTGTCTATACGTATATATAATTAATACTCGTATGTCCGTTATTGTCCCTGCAATCTAGCTATCCATCGCCTATTAAATTTCCAATTTCAGCCCATTTCATATTTTACTAACTACGAATACTTTTTAGTATTTGCAAGAATTCGTCCAACCTCATATAGAGTCATTCAATTTCTTACTACGAGATGGTCTTTCTGCGGCTGTTAAGGTATTCTTGCATCAATAGATAGTGGTATAAAGATCCTGTAACTTAAACTCTTGCTTAACCTTAATCATATGGTCGAAGTAATTTGAATGCATGCACTTGTCACGGCTTATCAAGTGGTATAGGGTTAGCCTTGTCGTAATCAATGCTATTTGCATGTGTAATTAATACGTAAAAAAATGGATAAACTATTGAACGTATTAGGATATTAGACAGGAAGAATTGCAACTAAATGATGGCCGCCGAATTTCAATATACTTCAAGGTAGCCATGACAATTATACCACTAACAATTGAAGTCAATCTCGTATCAAACTTCATAGAATCCTAAAGCTGCTTAGCTAATTTGAACGATTTCTCTATATTTGCTTAGGATGCTTTAATTGGTAAGCCAACTGTTAGCGAAGCTGGCAGCTATTCATCCAATACAATACTTTATCCAGCAGAGGTTTGATTGAATAACATATATCCTATGGCAAAACAACTATACATTTAATTGATAGAAAGAGAATTATTATAAACTATACTCGTCACTATGATAAAGCTAAGACTGTATGCAAACACTAATAGAGTCTACGAACATTTCAGTGATAAATTGTTATATATATATTGTAGTGTAGAGAACTAGGATCAACTTATGGTGCAAATTTTCAAGTTACTATCAATTGGGATGTCGATGGAGAAACTTCTGGATCGTTAGGAATACCTCTTGGTCGCATCCCAATGATGGTCAAGGTCTGTAATTGACAGCTATTGTTATAATGCATTCCGAAAATTTCCAACTTGTTTACATATCGTATTTGCTACTACCGAATTAATATAGTGTAAGAATTGCTCACTGTATAATCTAACGCCTGAACAATTAGTGGCTCACCATGATGAAGCTGAAGTAAGTATTCGTAAAATTGACCATCTTGCAATTTCTGTTACAACGTATTTGATTAGCCATTATACTAAGATATTAAAGTGCTATTTTATGTTACAACTATCGTGATATTATTCTACCACAATACTATACAACGCTAATACTTGTTGTATGAACGATCTGACCACTGCAGGAAGCTGGTGGATATTTTATAGTTAATGGCTTAGAAAAAGTCATACGAATGATAGTACTACCGAGGAGGAATTACGTAAGCATCTTAGTGGTAGCTGGTACTATTCCAATATTTAATTCTCTTCGTAATTTATCGTTACGACCAAAATTAAAGTTACTCAATTGATACGTTTGCCTATAAATTATCAATCCATAATTTATACTTTCTATGAAAATATTATATATATATACATATATAGCCTATGGCAATATCGCGTCCATCTTGGAAAAATATTGGAGCATCATTTTCGGAATATGGTATTATCATACGCTGCGTTCGTAGAGATCAATCCGCTGCTGTAAGATCTTAATAGGGTGTTTCGAAATTTATTTTAAACATTATCATTCGATATAAACTAATATCACAATAAATATATATCTTTATACCATATATTTTCCTTTTATACCTTTAGAGAATGACATTGCATTATCGATCAGATGGTGTTTGCATTCTTGCTATTCCTTATCGAAAAGAATTATTCTTTATACCAGTTGTATTCATTCTAAAGGCTAGTTTATTTTAAACGTAGTGCAATTTTTACTTAACGGTGTTACTAATCAACGTCGTTTTTGGTACAAATTTAACAGGCTTTAATTCGAACCACCGACTATTTCATATTTTCTGAAATTGTCAAAGGCAATGAAGATAACTCCCATACTAAAGCGTAATTAAAATTATGACTTTGAAATTCAAATACGAAAATTGGTTAAGGATGACAGTCCATCGAATTAATAGTACCTCGATGTTAACTTATATTGCTATGTAGGTGTGTAGAAGCCATGCTACATGCATTTCAGAAAGAAATGCTTCATACACAGGACGATATTCTTAATCATATCGGTGAGGAGATAGCATTAATGTGTAGCATTAGCCAAGATAATTAAGATATTCGTTTCTTCAGTATTTAATTGGTGTGACATTCTATATTATGAATCAACATACAATGTAAGAACTCTAATTGTTTACTTAAATCAAGGAGAAAAATTTCGTGTTAAAATGAATCTACCGGAATGGACCTATGATGCCGATGTTGCTAATTATTTATTGAAGTAAATAAAATCTGGCAATCCAATGCGTTATTTATTGTTTAAATGGGCCTTAATTACTCTTTACCGCAATATTGATGTCTAATTGCCTTTTTAATAACCTTAGAAATTGTATAGCTGTTCACCTGGATAGAAATGAAGATAAATTTAATTTACTTATGTAAGTATATCATAGTTAAAATTTTTAAGAAAAAATGTTTTCTTATTTCCGTAGTTGTGATTATTAAACAGTTAATATGTTTTATGTTATACAGTTACATGATTCGAAAATTATACGCAGTTGCAAATGGCGAGTGTCAAATAGAGTCACAAGATAGTCCAATGAATCAAGAAATTCTCTTAGGTGGTCATATGTACTCAATGGTATTAAAAGTAAGTGATCATTTATCATTATACAGTATCATGTTACTAGTGTCATTTCTGATCTAGCTATTGTATGCTAATTAACTGATGGCTTGGTAATTACAGGAAAAATTAGAATTATGGCTATCGAGGGTTAAGAATTTAATTTTGAAGTATATGGCAAAAACCAACGATGAAAAATTAGAAAGTATTTATTGCTATTTGATTTATGTAATTGTACTCACAGTTACTTTAGATAAAGACCCATATTTTCACTTAACGAAGTAGATTGCTTGGTTATGTTTCTAAATAGAAATATATAAGTACAATGATTCTATCTTGCAGATGCTATAGTTAGAGCTGCAAATAATGGTACTAATATACCGAATCAACTAGAGTATTTTTTGGCCACAGGGAATTTAGTCGCTAGGGCTGATTTAGGCTTAATGCAGGTTACTATCGTGTTATACTACATTACATTGCTTCGAGGAGTTTCTAATTGTATGTTTTCTCTTTTGTATCAAGGTTGCAGGTTATGTTCTGGTAGCTGATCGGTTAAATTTTATGAGATTCGTATCACATTTTCGAAGTGTTCATCGGGGTAGTTTCTTTACTGAAATGCGTACCACCGCTGTTCGTAAGTTACTTCCTGAAGCTTGGGGTAAGCATGTCGATACATGATGACGAGCCAAAGCAGGAGTGCACATAAACTTCTCTTGCAATTTACGAGCATGGATATATTACTAGCAAATAGATTTAATAATATTTGCAATTTAATGCCTTTCTTGATAATTTAGGGTTTCTCTGTCCCGTTCATACCCCTGATGGTGCTCCATGTGGTTTGTTGAATCATTTAGCGGCTAGCTGCAAAGTAGGTTCAGTCGCGTCTGTTTTTTTACTCAATACTGTATATACTCGTACACATTTAATAGGCTTACATTGAGAAAAATAAAGATTGAAAGGATTTCCTATCTTGCAAATATAGGTCGTAACCAAAATGTCTGATACAACTAAGTTAGTTAGCACGCTGTATGAGTTGGGAATGCTATCATTATCGGATCCACTTATTGAATATAGTTCCGCGCATGTAGTAATATTAGACGGCAAAATTGTGGGGTATATTCAGAAGGAAATTGGAAAAGAAATCGCCGATAAATTACGATATCTAAAGATAAATAACATGGATATGGTAAGCTTCAGTAATTCATCCTTGTCCTTTTAACATACAATATAAATTTCGAGGAGGATAGCAACAGCACATAAATAAAAACTAAGTAATCCATCATGCCATCCGATGTAGGTTGATCCATCTACGGAGATTGCATTAGTCCATGACGGAATTAGCGGTCTCTACAACGGATTGTATCTTTTTACGTCCCCAGCTCGTATGATTAGACCAGTCACAAATTTACGGTTGCAAAAACAAGAAATGATTGGTACTTTTGAGCAAGTAATGGATTTTACAAATTTAGTGTAATACTAATGTAATGCTTGTGTTTGGTTCTTATCTTGTTTCCAATAGCTTATATTCTCATTTGTAAGTAGTGAATTAGAATTTTCTCTCTAACTCTAAATGCTTATTTCAAGGTCTTTATGGATATTTGTATTACTGCTGAAGAAGCATACGCTGAGGTTAACTATTTATCATGTTGAAAATTTTGACTTGTTATTATGCAAGTCTAGTCAATAATAATTGGCCAAAATATTCATTATAATTTATTAGTTATCCCTACATCATCAATTTCTTTTAAATTAGGTAACCACTCATCAAGAGCTATCACCATGCAGCATGCTCAGTGCATTGGCCCGATTAACGCCATTTTCTGACTTTAATCAAAGTCCTCGTAACATGTATCAATGTCAGGTAAAGCAAAGTTATCCTAAAATCAAGACTGTAATTGGTTTTGAAATGATGATGTCATGTTTGTATTGCAACATTTTAGATGGGAAAGCAAACTATGGGAACCCCTATTCAGTCCTTTAAATATCGATCTGATAACAAACTTTATCGAATACAGGTACACAAGTTAATGTTAGTTTAACTGATTGTAGTAGACAATATAGGCTTAATTGATTATATAATATTACTATAAATATTACAGTATTTACTTTTACGTGGATTATTTTTGATAGACTCCTCAAACGCCTGTTGTTCGTACAGCCGATTACGATCATTACGGATTTGATGATTATCCACTAGGAACTAATGCAATCGTGGCTGTTATAGCATATACGGCATGTCCATCCTAACAGAAATTTTTATAATTCACTGTACAATAGCTGGTTATGTTACCTAATTATGCGTATACTTGTACTTTTATGATTATTGATAATAATAGGGCTATGATATGGAAGATGCGATGATACTGAATAAAAGTTCAGTCGAACGAGGATTTGCCCATGCCACTATATATAAATCTGAGGTAACTTTACCGACGTTTTAATACCATACATTATATAATCTATTAATTCCAATTATATATCATTATTTGGCGAGATATAGTAAAATGTATTATTTATGGCTAGGTTATCAATCTGAATTCGAAAACCGCTGATGGATTGGAGATATTTGGTATGCTCCTAGTCATCTTCGAACTGGCTTTCATTTTTCTTTACTAAATTGAAATAATTTAAATAGGCCAAACTCCTGGTACTACTGATAGTGACAATATTGATTTGGATGGATTGCCAAAAATTGGTTCTATACTAAATTCCGGAGATCCATACTATTGGTAATTTTGAGCAATATTGCATTATTACTATACGAGTATGTAGTTAGTTACGATATGACTTTAAGACCATTTAATATTATCTTTAGTACTTTAAATCTTTCTACAAGTCAATGCGTTGTCCATTACTACCGTGGCCAAGAACAAGGAATAGTAGATGATGTACGTTTTAAAGCAAGACGTATTACAAGATATTAACTCGAAATTTGATATTGCTCAACATGACTGACATCAAATATTATCTAGGTTAAATTACTTGGATCGGATAGCGGTCGAAAGCCATTGCAGCGAATATGCGTTAAATTCCGAATCGAGGTATGCAGCACACCCTTAAATATTTACGCAAGTTACTAAAACTTTACGCATAACCTACCCTTATTATTAATATTTGGATCTTCTACGATAAATTACAGCGAAATCCGATCATTGGGGATAAATTTTCAAGCCGTCACGGGCAGAAAGGAGTATGCAGGTATAATGTAAATGCAAGTTCATCGTACTCAGTTTGATAATTTTGTACCCTCAGTTAAACATGGTAACCTAATTTTCAATTTCAGTCAATTATGGCCAATAGAAAATATGCCTTTTACTGAATCCGGCATGACTCCTGATATATTATTCAATCCACATGGCTTTCCATCGAGAATGACTATAGGTTAAAATTTTTCCTTCTATCAATGTTCCTATTTCGCCAATTCATGCAGTAAAATTATGATTATACCATTAATTTTTAAAATGTATATTTATTGCAGGCATGATGATTGAATCTATGGCAGGCAAATCTGCTAGTCTTCATGGACTCTGTCATGATGCAACACCCTTTCAGTTTAGCGAAAAAGTTTCAGCCGTAGATTACTTTGGAAAATATCTAGAGAAAGGTGATGTCTTTGACTTTTCTTAAATAATATTGACTTAAAATTTGGTATAATAATAGATTAGATGATCGTAGGTTCGATAACATGCTTAGCCTTACACAATATGTATATTTCTTAAATGTTAAAGCTGGCTACAACTATTTTGGTACGGAAAGAATGTACGATGGCATGAGTGGCGAAGAATTTGAGGCTAATATATTTATTGGCACTGTATACTATCAGCGATTAAGGCATATGATTTCTGATAAGTTTCAGGTATCTCTACCATATATGACAAATGCATATCTGTATTCGGGCTGAGTATGAATTTTTTATTGAGATGAAATGTTTTCTTGATTGAATTAGGTTAGGACAACAGGGCCAATCGATTCCTTAACTCGTCAACCTGTTCAGGTAACTTTGATTGATTTACTACCTATCGTTAAACGTTAAGTTAGGACTCGTTATTGCGAGAAAATCAAATCTAATGCAGTAGTATTTCATCAAATATTCTTAGGGTAGAAAAAGGGCCGGTGGAGTCAGGTTCGGCGAGATGGAGCGTGATGCTTTAATATCTCATGGCACATCATTTCTACTACAAGATAGACTGCTTAACTGTTCCGATAAATCAGTGGTAACATTGAATTTCACTACAGTGCACAATTTCTAAATAGTATATGTTTAAGATTTGTTGGTTTAAAGCATCCGTACATGTTGATTTTAGGCGCATGTTTGTAAGAAATGCGGTAGCGTCCTAGGGATTACCACTGATGTAAACAAAAATGAAGCCGATATCTTTCGAGAATTCTCCCGAAAAGTTTACAGATGTACTACATGTGATAGCACTCAAGAAGTTACTAAAATGTACCTTCCTTACGTATACCTTTATTTAGTTACAGAATTTGCAGCTTTGAATATTAAAGCTGTAATCGAAGTTGAATAATCAAAATGAAACAACATTCAATTATATATATATTAACAAGACCAACATCAATTAATTTTCATATAGAATAAATGTGGAGAACATAATATCGAACTAGCAATTAATTAATTTTTTCACGGTGTGATGTTGTTCATAACGTTTCACTAAACCTGAAATAGTGGCTACATAGAGAGAAAGTGAAGTAATAAGCACTTTAATTAAATTACAAAATAAACTTGTATATAATATCCATAAGAGGAATTATTAAATTTTATCAGAAATGTAACAGATAACACATCCTGTACAAATATCTGTCCCGTTCTTTAATAAAATTATTTTTTTTAGATATTATTTTAATGTTTAAACTTAAACATTTCACAGTAATTTATTTCTACGATGCTCATGTGTTAGTGCTATGGGTTTTATACTGTGTCTCGTGTATACTCATTTCGAGTAAGAGTAGGGAAAGATACTTTAAATCGAAATTTCGTGCCATACTTATATTGTTCGTTAATGCTATTTTGATAGTTCATCCAACTTTGCTTTCACGTCAGAGCAGCAGCACATCAATTCATCAGCGTGCTCATGTAAATGCTTATCAAGGTCGTCTAGTGAACGTGATCTACAATAAAAATCTGTAGGTAGAAATCGAAATGTAATCGCATTCAGTTCATGTTATTATGTAGGATCATTATTTAATATTCATATTGTAGTTAATAATTATAATTGTATCCTACCCAGTGCACTATTACAAAGGGTTCTAGCCTGGTCTAGTTGGCCACAAGATGCCGCAATAACACAACTATCTAAACTATGATTTCCTAGTAGGCATAGTTGGTGATAGTAATTAGAAGCGATCAGACCTAAAACCAATTTTTTATCAATTTACAATGAACATAAGTCTGAGTTGTCTATCAGTTTGCAGGTTAAATCAGTTATGTATTAAATGAACTAAAAATAAAATTATTTATCTACAACTTACGTTTGCTAATTGTAGCAAATTGATTGATCTGGTTACTCGATCTAGGATTATCGTTAACTTGAACTGGATCTTTCCTTTGATAATGATGGCCTGCAAGCACGTTAGATCTCTCGCCATAATTCGTACGAGTCATTTTCTGACTGTATTCGTCTTCGTTATTTACTTTTGCTGTATAAACGCTATGGTACTTAGGAGAGCTAACAGGATGCCTTGGGTCAGTTATTTCGGAATTAGAAGAATCTTCCGTAGTTCTGTGATGATTGTAGGATGCAGGTGCCGTAACAAAACTCAAACCATCGTCGGATCTACCGGAAGAATTAGAGGTTGCATCTGATCCTGAAAACTGTCGACCATACGATGAATTTTTGTCATAATACTTATAGTTTGATGGTAGTTTTCTAATATGTGAGTCAGTCCAAGCATTCGATGGTAAAGGATTAGTTTGGGTTGCTTGTACACCTAATTTGTTAGATATGTCCCGATTTATCATCTGCTGACCCTTTGAAATTTTACCTGTAACAGACCATTGCTGTAGCCTAGTTACAGTATTGGCTAAGTCATCATCAGCTTCATATGGTTCTCGAGATCGAGTGATTGTAGATGACGTGCTACCACCTTTCGAAACTCGTGAAGTTTGCAATATATCTACGCCATCATAGCTATCGCCATAGTTGCTTTGGGATTCGATATATGAGCGAGAGTCTGATTTTGGAATACTTCCAGTACTAGTAGAATCTTCGAGATCAATTAATTGACCAGTTACTACTTCATTCACCCTACGATTCTCACTAACTAACTGATCGGTATCAGATGTTGACGGTATTGGATCCATTGGCTTTCCAGATGAATTGGTATAAATCAGTAGCACTGGTTGATAGCAATTACGAATGCAACTTTGAATTACATCCTCAAAGGTTTGACCAACCTATAAATCATACAATATTATAGCCAATAATTAAGCATAAGTGCTTACAAAAAGTTATTAATGTTGTTATGCGAGCATTAAATTATATATCATCAATACGTCAATTATACTTTTGTGCATACGATCTTACATCTCGTATATGTGCATCATCACATAATATCCATTTCTTGTATCTCGTATGATGACAGAATGTGGCATAATGCATGCCATAATAAACTACCATGGTATTAAGATCGATCGTGGTTTGGGCTGCATTTTCGTCAAGAACCTTTGAGAATACCTGAAACAATTCAAAATTTCAGTCATTGTGCTCCTAATATATGATGAACTAAACGGTAAATTAACGATAGGCTAGATAGACTGAAGTGCTAATACTAGCGGCTTGTAAAAGCTCTATCGTAAAATTATCATTCTTGTATTATTTAGGCCAAGCCGAATACTTACATCATTTAAAGAAATGCGTGTTTGGATGACATAGAGTAACGATTGAATGGTAGATCTTGGTGCTGACTTTGTCGACCATGAAAAACCAATACTAACTGTTAATACAAAATTGCATTAAAAACATTAATACCAATCTCAATGTCAAGGCTAGCCATAATGAATTCAGGTTACCAATTTCAGGGCAATTTGTAAGATAGCATTCACTTTTAATGATGTTTCTACAATTTCCCTATCAAAAGGTCAAATTGATTTATCAAGCTTCTGGAATGTTATTTGAAGACAAGCAATAAATTGAGTATCAATAGCGAATTTGCTATAACGTGACACCATATCTTACAGGGCATGATTCTTTGGTAGCTAAAACAGATCGAAGCATTTTACCGAATGTAATGTTTCTAAAATCATTATCACGACCTGACGGTATGTAAATCTCATTTCTGTAAAACAATCCGATTCGTTAATTTTATTTCTGAACGCTTTATAGTTTAAAAATATGTATTTCGTGAATAATTCACTTAAATTGAAAATCTTGTACTTTCATTTTACTATTCTAATAAGTTAGAATAGGAGAATGCATTCTTACACAAGTTCGGAAACATTAAGATAAAGCAAAGGTATTCTCAATGGTTCAGGCTCCGAGGTAGCCTCACAATAGGGACAGATACGCTAAAATTCAACGCAGAAACAAGTTATTGAATTAGTGATATACTATGGATTCTAGTGGCTAAACTAACTAAATCTTACATGATTTATCAATGTAAGAGTAAACTTCTTGTGAGTAATACAGCCATCATCCTCACATGTTGCGCTATCAACATCTGTAGTTGAGTGTTCATGTATTTTATCTAGGATATATTCCTGCGTAATCAATATTCGAATGCAAATTAGTGAAATACTGGTAGGCTACTGTTATTTGTATTAGTGGTATAAGGATTGCATAAATGAGTTTAATTGTATCCTTTCGTAGGCTAAACAATAGGATATAATTTTGAGTTTAGTAGAAATAGTTTATTTTTTAAGGAGCGCACACTGAAAATTCATTATTGCGTCGTAGTTAGCCAATAAAGGTCTCCTTTGTTTTATTAGTAGAAATTCTAATTTAATAGCAATAATATTGTCTTTAGGATGTGTTCCAGCCATAAATTGTATTCTTGTAAAATTTTATTGGTTATTTAAAAATCTTTACATAGTAGCGTTTCATGTATGAATTTGCGAAAATGCGATTATTTTAAAGTTTGGATAGTTAAATTTGTTACTGACATTTTCAAGTGCGATCAATACAAAGTTGATACAGGTTAATAGGGCAAAATGTCCGTACTTAAACTTACATAACACTCTACGGCATCATTTGTTTGACCCAGTTGAAAGCGATCAACATTAAGCTTAGCCAGTACTCTTCTTAAGTAATCAGGCTTTAAGACTTGAAAATCGCAGTATTTATAATTATCAAAAATGACCTATAAATAAATAGAATCGTTACCACAGTTAGTTATGAGAGGTAGTGAGATGTTATTGAATCGAGATGGTTAGTGATCACTTAAACAGAATTTCAGGTATTAATTTCAATCAAAGTAATATTCTGTTTGTCCAAATGAATATTGTCTCGATACTCTGCTCTATAGCAAAGCTATCTATTACTTATCTATGAGCATTTACGCTTGGGCTTACCTGTAAAGCTTCGATAATATTATTTGATTTTTGTCTATCGTCTTTTAAATTGTGAAGGCTATCACGAAAGATATCAATATGCCATAATGCCTGAAATCATATGCGATAAGAGATTTGATAAGCTGTTCAATATATGCATTAGGTTGTAGTTAAGTAAGAGAATTTAATAAGCTGTATAACTAATACATTCATTCGATTGTAGTTATAGCCTTCATGAAAATGTAACCAGCTAAACTAATTTCAATTTATTAGACTGGATCAGTAATTACTATGCAGCTTTCGGTTGCTTGATCATTATTATTCTATTAAAATTTAAAGACTGAGAAATTTACACTATTATTCTACCACATTGGATTACTCTCTTTAATCATTACGTGGTAGTGTATCGGGGGATACATGAAATTGAGTTAGAGTCTACGCAAACGACACTACGACAGTGGCAGTGGCATAGCTATTTTTCACTTTTTATACTTAAAGTAAAACAGTATCGTAAATGACTAAAAGAGTCGTGTAACTAAAATTAGAATTATTAACTTTTAATAGAACGAAAGTATCGAGTTTATATACTAGAAGAAAATGTTGATCTTTTGCCTGATATAATATCTTATCTTAATACTGTGTAATATCCAATTGTGTAGTATAACCTATCGGAGCAATCATAATGTACGTACGATGATGCATTTGTAATTTGATCTTAACAGCAATCCTGGCATGCAATCGATCAAAATCAAACGACAAATTGTTCTGAGATCTATTAAAATATCTTCTCCATCTTTATCAATGAATTGAACAAGTATATTAATTACCTGAATAACTGAGTTGAGAAAGCAATTATTTTCACCGGGTTGATTGTCTAGGCCTTTGCTCGATAGAGTAGAACAGCCACTTTCCATTAATACTGAATTGATTTCGCGTCAATAAGAAGAAATAAAATAATTTGATCTTTTACTCTGAATGATTCATTACATCAACATTAGTTGGATGAAATTGTGTTCTAGAAAAGTTGATGGCAGTTATCTACCCAAGGCTAGACTGTATCGATTATTAAACAGTGTTATCAACGCTATTGTCGTCGATTGGAGTCGTAATCGCTAATCTATCTAACTAGCTTTTTAAAGTTTTGATAAAATTGAACGGTTGAACAGTAATTTATAAATAAAAGCGACTTGAATTGGATCTTCACAGTTGCAGGATAATCAATATAAGGTAGAGTCGTTGATCAATGCAAACTTTTGAATAGTAGAGTATTAACACTCGACCGGCCAGGGTCCCTACAGTCTCTCTTGAAGTCTTGCTAACTGGATGTAGATCTAGTCCACTCTGTATAAATACTGGAATGTTGAAGAGCTATCAAGCGCCTTTGCAAAGTGATAATAATAATAACTTCAAACGATTACGTCGATGATTTATCCTTTGGGAATGAAGAAGAATGTTAGAGTAGACAATATCGATGCGATTTCTCAGCTACCAATGCTAGCTAAAATGATATCATACAAGCATGACACTCATAGGCAAATTAACCTTTGAAGCTTAGGCGCACTCGCATACCGTTGAAGAATAGATTTCAATTTTCTACTGGATAGTTATGAAATCACCTTAGGCAGAGCTGCCATTTATTTATTTATTTATTCACATGCAAAATCTAACCTAAGGCACTAGCATACTTTATGCAGAATCATTCTAAACACTCTCTGGCTTAGTTTTGGGGGATAATTTCAGTCAAATCGTTCTCCTGCTTGCAGCTGTTCTGGTTGGTTCCGGAAGTGTCTTCGGTCTACTCCACTACCGTATGTGTTACCCAAAAATGATACTTTTATATGGCACCTATGATATACTTGAGACAGCATATAGTGGTGAGCTACATCCATATTTAGCTATCTAGAGTCTCAAACAAGACTTTTGAAATATATCACTGGCTAGCCAAACGTGCACATAGCCTACTAGAGGAACCTTGACGTCATCTCCAGTTACTGTATAACGCTGTACTATCATTGGTCCATTACTTATTAGGTCATCAGTCTATAAATAGAACACAATACGTAACGTTGGCGGTATCATACAGTACTATGCAATGCATAGTCATGCCTCCAGTATGGATGGGGGTTGATCAATTCGTATCGTAGCAACACAATTTAGCTTATTTTCATTTTTATAGTCAATATGAACCTTATTATACGTTTATGGTCGTGGTGGCCGAGTGGTTAAGGCGTTGGACTCGAAATCCAATGGGGTCTCCCCGCACAGGTTCGAATCCTGTTCACGACGATTTTTTTTCTACTGTTGATGATCGGCACTAATGGCGATATAAATTGGAGATGAAACCGAATGCAATCTAGCTTGGAATTTCAGCCTGCGTCGATCGAAAATGTAAAATGTCTCGCAACTACTGTACCCTGTAATCACCATAGCCTCTCGATTAATTGTATTAGCACAGTGCAGTGAGTGATTGGTGTATAAAATAGTCAAGTCAATCATCGACTGATTAATTAGAATGTCCAGGTGCAAATCGATATTAAGCCTTAACAGCTTTTGAAAAGTCATTTCTGCACCAAAATTGGAGACAAGCGTTTCTGTTATTTTAATGTTTATTACATATGGGAAGACTGAGTATAGTCTACCACGGCCATATAAAATAATCAAGTCAATTATCGATGATTGTATATCCGCCTTGGTATCGGTATTAAACCATTTTACATGAACAGAAATTGATAGATTCAAAAAAGTCATTTTTGCATCAAAATTGGAAATAGAAGTTTCTTTGAACTTAATATTGGATATATTGCATACGGAGACACACTAAGGAAATGATTGTCTTGACAATTTTTGATTAGAAAACCCTCATTCTTATTTCTAAATTCCTCGTAGTATACAGTAGTACAGTATTGACATTTTCTCGTCTTGTTTTGTGCAGTAGTGCCGTGAGTGGCAATGTACTCTTTGGCATTTACTTACAGTGACTGGCGATGGAGTCAGTTTAATCGGTCAGGAGGCTAAGGTAACTACTATGTAAATCTCTACTAGACTAACGATGACTATAAACTCAGATATTACTAAAAAATCAGCTAATTTATTTGTACAGTATGTAGTGCAATTACGTAAACATCAAATATGCTTACTAAGACAATAATAATTTAAAAATATGCAGTTATCGATAAAATTATATCAAAACATAGATAAAATGACGATTAATAAAATTCCCGGAAAGGCTAATCAATGATAATTATGCTTTAACGGCTAACACCGTACTTAAAAAAGCTACTTGGTCGCAATATCGTATAGCAAAGTTAAATTCCAATTCCTGATAAGATATTCTGGATAGATAAACTTAAAATCAAATAGCAAAACTCAAAGTGCGCGCATTATCCAGCAATGTATACCTCCAAATGAAGCTCTCGAGACCGCACACTCTGTCAATTAGCAGTACAGAGCGTGAACCTCCATCTTATACTAAGTTACGGTATACAGGATCTTGAGACTAGTGATGGTTAGAGCTGCTGATTGTCTAAAGTGCGGTACTACAGTGTACTACCGTATGCTCGTATATTAGAGTAAATAAGGTACTGTATATTTACAGCCCACTACAGTATAACAACATATTTACCTAATCAATAAGTTATTAAGAGAATCTTATTTTTCCTGTATTGCATATGTACAATAATGTTCATACAGCATGCTTTAAAGTAAAAGCTATGACTGCTTCAATACTAGATATGAATTCCTTTCAGAAGGAAAGCAGTTGTATAATATCACTAAATAATATTGCATTTCTATACTATCTGAAAATTAGATACTTATAGACACATATCATATTAAGTCATAGTTGCTATTAGGTCACTTCTGGATTTATCATTCGTCATTGCATCAGAGCGATTGAAGGGATAATTGCACGCTGTATGATTATTCGACATGTAAAACTATTTGAGAATAGTGTGACGGGAGGATTATGCAAGGAGGCTAAAAAGAACACTATGTATAATTATTTAAATCCTCTACAAAGTCTTGCAAGCAGAGCAATAAAATTATCTGATTTAACGTAACTGAATTTATTCCAATACCTAACAACAATCTGTAGTAATTCGCAAGCAAGCTTAAAATAACAATGTATTGTTTAATAACAGTATCAGCTGTGGCGAAATCTTGTGAGTAAGAATCAAAACAATTTTATTTAACGTAATTTATAGTCGTATCCAATTGTTCCTAGTACACATTAGGAACAGTAGATACTTTTATGACTGGGCCTAAAAACACAACACCGTGTGAAACTGCGATCAGATCTAGCTAGAAAATAAATATAATTATACATTTACTAACATAATCCAGAATTTCGAGCAATTTGCCTATCACATCGTACCACAACTCATCTATTATGACGGTTATTAGATTACAGAATATCCTTTAATTGATCTTAAATACTTGCTTCAAATTAACATGTACATTTCTGGATAGATGAAGACGGAGACTATGAAAGAATGGGACAATCCCACAATTTTTAACTGCTAGCATATTAAGAATATACCAGGAGTGTATATTCGTATATAGCTACAGTAATGCGAAAAATATGATTACTGATTTAAAGCAAGTACTTTTGTTGATTGTAGGTAACTGTTGTATTTAATGTATTTCAATCTTAGTATGATTAGGCAGAAAAGTAACAAATAATAATCTCACGTACGAAACCTTCTCGAAATAAACATAATTGTATGGCACTTGTACTTACAGTTTTATTACTGTCAGGAATGATCGAATAATTTATGTTTATAGTAGTGATAGAACTAATGGACTTTGGCATAAAGAAAAACTTGTAAAGATTATAATACAATAAATATCTAGAACAGATACAGCTGCTATTTATACATTACCTTATGTCGAAATATGTCATTCTCAACTATTAAACATTATAATTTAGTAGATTTTATGGAGTTAAGAATTAAAGTTTGCCTTTGCTGCTCTCTCTTCTAATTCAGTTTGTAACTCGGAAGAAACTTCAGTAAATAAAGTAGTCCATTCCCATTGCCTATCGGTCTTTATTATAGTAAATGATATCAAGTAGTTGTCGTTCAGTAACTCGACGAAATAATTTATATTTTTTCCTATAAATCGAAAAGCAATCATTACCTCAGCGACTTCTTCTGCAGGCGCTAAGCCTTTTGCCAATAGTTTTAAATCAACTTCTCCGTCCTAATTATACATCAAGTTGTTAGTGTGAGAATTTTAAGCTTTAGTACTATTATAATTATTATACAACAGCGATTTATAAACTGAATTACTGAAATTACCATAATTAGTAACGACGCATGTTTCTGTAAATCTTGATCCAATTCCTTATAGCTTATTACCTTATTGGCTTTTATGCTAATAAAAATTTTGAAGTAATACTATTAATTATGAACTATCGAAATAAAAGAGAAAATAATTACATTAGATGAAAAATCGTAGCAGTACCTTGGTGGAGCAGCAATTCCGTAAGTGATTTCTTCTTCTTCCTGCTTGTCCTCGAGCTCCGGTATGACGGGATTATCTACGTTGGTTTTGAAGTATAGATTTAAAACAATTATATTTTTTTTACCGAGGATTAAGACAGCGAGATTCAAAACGTGGTGAATACCTTCGCCGTCATCCTGATTAATAGTAGTCGCTTTCAAACGTTCGCTAACGAAATAGTAAGAGCAAAGATACAGAAGGTTAGTTTGATTGCTGTCTGAAGAAACACGATTCACATAATTATGTACAAGTGATAACGATCTACTTGAGCTAATTGCTTCTCTTACTCAATTTCTGTATCCTTTTTGTTAGCATTTTTCCTGGAATATATATTTGATTTGAGAAATGATAATTTATAAATTTGCTTATAGTATTAAAGCGTTTTAGCATAAATAAGCTTTCATATTGTATTTGCATCAATACGAATCAACAGCTCCAAAATGATAAACTATTGATCCCGCAGCCTACCCTTTCTTAGCATCATTAGCCCATCCGTCTCTCTTTCTAGCCTTTGGAGGGACATCATTGCCATTCTAGATAATATTACAATGTTATAACTTTGCTTATATAACATTTCTATTGAGATTAAGAGTGATAATGACTAGAATAGAACGCCAATTTGCATATATATGATCCAAAATTGTTAAACTTTAGGACCTATTTTCCACTAGCTTTATTTGATACGTTAAGAAAATTAACGTATCATTTTATTAAGACATGCTTTATGGTATAGACTTACTACACTTCCATTAGCAACGGCACTGTTATCTGCTGATCCATTTTGATTTTCTGCATTAGCTTTAGGTTTGTTAGACCTTCTTCCTTGCTTAGCGTCCTATAGTAATGGAGATTAAAATCAAACGTTTTATTATCCTGAAAACTAACAGACGCTACTAACAGTAAATTAACTTCAATAAATTAACTTCCACTTTTATAACACTTTTATGATAGCCTTATTTTTTAAATAAATTTCTCCTACCATCAATGTACGTGGGTAATATTAATGATAACGCATATGAAATCAAGTAAAGATAAGATTATAATATATCAAAATAGCTATTGAAGCAAATCCAGGCTTGAACTGATTTAGGGGATAAGCAGGGATCATCTAATGCAATGAAATCTTTATTATTTTGTGATGTGCGACATATAATTTGATAAAAGTATAGCTAGTAGTTGTTGATATGGTGATCAATTTATGTTTTGCATTATAGTAGTTAAAATGCAAAATAACATAGGTAACACCATATTGGCGAAGGTGATGTTTACATTTACTTGCAGTATAAGTTTAGATCAATTTAAGCAGCACTAATGTAATCATCTTGTACTTTTTTATTACGAGTGATTCGGCTTCTTGAATAATAAGTCATTTACTGATAACTTCCCATAGCTGATTTTAAATGAGGGTTAAAGCAAGTAATAAGTAAATTCCCAATCAATTTTACATTAACGAAAATGATATTAGGACTGATTAAGAACATAGACGTAAAACAACTAATATAGCATTATCTAGGTTATTTTACGAAATTATAAAGAGAAATTTATTTTCACCAAAACTATATCATTTTTCCTGACGTCCTCGTCAATTAGCTCTGTCTGAAAAAATACTAGAGAGAAATGGAAATAATTCTATACTTATAAAGATGATATTTGCATTCATTTGCGGCTAGAGATCAATCCTAACATCATGTCTATTCTATTTGGTACCGTCCTTATACCATAAGCAAGTTACTTTCTATCTGAAGCATATCGATACCGTAGTCAATTTACAACATAATTTTAACGTTGTTCATAAAACGGTCTTATAACTGTGATAGCCGATAAAGTAACTTCTTGTAGAATCATTTCCATCAAGAAGAAGTGATCAAATTATCTCCAGACTTACTTTTTTACCAGGGAATATTCCATCCATTGCTACTAAGTTTGGTATCGATATAGTTAGAAAGATTTCAAATTCCAACCTGAGCCTTGTACGATAATATTCTTTTTACTATCTATTACTAGAAATAGTAATGTTAATCAATCAAGAATCAGTACTGCAGTCTATAGCAGTGAATTAAACTATCTTTGCTGATATTCACATCTTATTATGGGGGATATCCGTTGTCACGGTAATGAGAACAAGCCAGTGCGCGTGCTCGCCCACTGTTGCCATGCTTTTTACCTGCTCGGGGCATAGTGGAGACTTAACAAATTCTTGACCCTCTAATAGCACTTCTCATTAATCGCTTATAGTGTAGATCGGACATGAAAATAGTGGGCTATGTTTAAGTACCCAATCTATGGGGTTCCACAGGTCCATATGCTACTTTGTTGTCTATGGTACTGCCACAGCATATACGGGATATGGTATATTGCGAAAACGAACATGGTCGATAATTATAAATTCAGAGAATAACTGAATAATCCATTCTGCAATGACTACTGTTTGAAAGTTTTGTTGCCAACAGTATAAGGTATATGTTTGCCATATATCATATGAAGCAATGAACATGGTATGAATAAATTACAGGAATTAATACTGCGCGCAGTCACTGTCTTATCATGGTCATCATAGGAACAGCCGGCATCATATGATATGATTAACATTAATCCTTAAACCATAATATACATATATATATATATATATCACTTATGGGAAGACAACATAGAATTAAAAAAATGGACTTTACGCTTCAGGCTACTTTGCAGTGTCTAACCAGTTCTATAAGTGAGTTCTTTGAGCGATCTTATCACCAAGTTATTTTAAGTTTCCCTAGCAGAGGCCTACAATATAATGATCTACTTAAATTATTTATATGGAAAAATAATAAACAAGTTATAAATAAATTTCCTAGATTAGCGATAGACATTCTAAGTATTATATTCGCAACTTGTTTGCTCCATTGGTTAGTTCTGTGAGCTAGCTGAGATGCGTAGTGGTATCACTAATGTGCCAGTTATCATTCTATGCACCATGCCATCTTAATTCCATTTTATCAACTACAGATTTATGCGGAGATATAGTCAGCTTATTTATATAGGATAATATGTAAATAAACGCACAAAGATTTTTTATGTGCCATACTATCCAAAAAATGGTATTCATAAATTCCTGCAATGAATGTTATAATCAGTAATAATGCAGTAAATCGACTTCACTACTCTATCAAAGAAATCGTTTATTGTGTGATAGAATTGCATATTTCATCTACATCTTGGAACCAAATCGAAGGTATTTATCTGTAAATCAAAACTAAATTCTCATACAATATCATGACTCTTTTTCAATAATATGCATAAATGAATAAAAATCAACGTGTGGCCAATTCCATATCTCCTTAGCTGCAAGATTGCTTAAAGCTGTAAAACATGGCATACGCGCATTTCGATCGCTATAGGGCCAGCAGAAATCGTCATAAAGAAAATAGACTTCGTAACATATACTACAGGATCCTTTTGGTTGACAATTTCAGATTTAAGTAATATAACCGGAACGTCCGTAATAGCTATAGCTACTATAATCAAATCTATAAAAATAAATAACTCGGTAATCAAAATAAATTAAGAACAGAAAAAAATAATAACGATAAGAATGAATATTTGATCTTTGCTATGATCACAATTTCTTCTAATTATTCATTACAGGTGTATACAAAATATTAAATGTGTACTATAGAATTTTTCAATAAATTTATGTACTGCACAGCCCATCTAAAGGGGAATCTGTAAAGCTTTCATTGTATTTGCATAAGTAGAAAGAGATTTAAAGTAGACTAATATGACTTTCAAATGGAATCGTTGAAATTGCCTAATCATCCTTTATTACCTGCGAGGCATATATCTACTTTAATCCGGCAGAAAAAGATCCAATTTATATATTAATGATGTTACTTCCAAATTAAATTGCTACTGCATAAACATCTTGAAATACTGCAGTCTTTTGTTAAATAATAAATTGTATAGCAGAGTAAGCCACATTTCTAAATCTGAAACAATGGACAACTATTTTGATATTATTATACAGAACATTTGAAGATTCTATGTTTAGTACGTTACCCAACTGCTACTAAGTGTCTTTTTAATCCGCTATTAAAATGTAGACAAGAGTATAACCTTGCATAAATAGAAACAAAAATGCTGATTAATTATCTAAGTAACGGAAAGCATAGATTTTCTAAAATGTTACTGTTAAAATGAGCAAAAATTTTTATGATGTTATGTTACTTTTAAAAATCGTATAATTAAGAATCAATTTTATAAAGAGAGAAAATGAGGATTTTTATTTTCCTCATGATGGTCAGTTTAAATAGTTTGTTGAAATTATACATTGATCGAATTTCCTTTCTCCCCTACAGTTATTACAAAATTATTGATAAAAAAGTGAAATTAAAATTAGATTCATTAATCTGGTCACTTATTTCTACAAGATGCCCAATTCTTGTAGGTAGACTGATCAATTTTATAAATTAGATCTTAAATACGCCTATCTACTAGTGAATTAATTCCATTATAATAAATCACCGATACTCTTTAAGCCAATTTTTACATTTTAGTCATGCATATTGGTGGACTTTAAATTTCTTACGATTACATCTATCCATTTAGATCGCTAAATTTAATTTAGAATCACTTATATGCTTTTCTGCTTCATTCTATTTCATCCATTCTCCTAACTGAAAATATAAAGTACTATTGTTTTGGATATTTTATAATTTTGTTTATTCTAGTAAATTTATATCCTCTTACCAAATCAAACTTTCCAATAATATTAACAAGAGAAAAATATCTATTTGAGTCCATTTAATAGCTTATATTATTTGAAGCACCATCATAGGGAAAATTATTTATTATTCACATCCTTAATTGGGAAATGAGTCGTTTAATAAAGCTGCAAACTACGTCATTTCATCATGGCAATATTTAGTATCAAATTGACGTTACATATTATCTCTCTGGGTGATCTAATGTATGTGAGAGTATAAATGATTTCAAATTATTATTTTAAATTGGAGAGGATGCAAAGCATATAGATGGTTTTGGTACCACTAAATTTATTTATTTTACTTTGCGGGAGGTTTTATAATTTATTTATACGAACGATGAAAAAGTTAATCCTTTTGCTTATGATGTACTAGATGGTTATACAGTGATGCTCAAGTAGACTAGGTATTAGATAGATCTGGCGTAAAATAGAGCAAGATAATGTTTAATAAATTCTCTGTAATTAGTTCATTTGATATATTATCGTTGTAACAGGAATATTAAGTACAATCAAGTGAACTATTTTGGCTATTTCCTCCAAGATTACGACCCAAATTTTCGATTACGTCCTTGTTCTTTTCATAACTTTTCATACAGAAATAGAACATCCATTACAGTCATGTTGAAAAACGGTTCTTTTCTGAGATTGTTCTTCTGCTATACCATCCTGTTATGCTATTCTCTCAGTTTTGCAAAAGGAAAAAAGGATCACATCATATTGATCTTGACTGATGATCAAGATGTTGTACTGGAATCGATGAAAGCAATGCCTCATACATCGCGTATCCTTGGTAAGCAAGGAGCAGAATTTACCAATGCTTTTGTAACTACGCCAGTCTGCTGCCCATCGCGTTCCTCCATATTAACTGGAATGTATGTCCATAATCATCATACTAAAACCAATAATGCTAACTGTAGCTCTCCAGCTTGGCGTCATGGACCAGAACGATTAACTTTTGCAAAGTATCTACAAGATGCAGGCTATATCACCGGTAACTATTACGCACTATTCAGTTAATATAGACTTATGGTATTTCTACACTAGTGATTTAAATCAAGACTTGAATAATTTGTTTTTTACAATTATTCCGTAATCATCTTTCTTAATCACTATATTCTTCCTCCTATTATCAACAAACGTAATTTGGTATTAATAATAACGATGCTAATGAAAACAACGTAAATGATCCCAACGAACCAGGCTTTTTTGGTAAATACTTGAACGAATATGATGGTAGCTACATTCCAGTAGGTTGGGACCACTGGATTGGTCAAGTCAAAAATTCAAGATACTATAATTATACCTTGAATCGCAACGGAAAATTAGTAAAACATGGTAACAGGTGCCAACAAGATTATTTTACCGATTTAATTGTGCGAGAAAGCATCAGATTTTTAAAGAAAACTACCGAGAAATACCCCAAGAAACCAATTCTAATGGTATTAAGTATGCCAGCACCGCATGGAACTGAAGATTCCGCTCCACAATATCAGAATCGATATGCACGGGCTAAAGTTCCAAGGTATCTAAAATTATTATTATAATAATTTAACGAAGGATTGATTCTGTAGAGACTGTAAAGAATATAGAAATAAATTCAGATTAATATAAATCAAAGTCATTACTTGAATTCACTACATCTTGATAAATTTTATTCAGGACTCCGAATTATAATTATCATTCATTCGACAAACATTGGATTGTACGTATTGCTCCACCAATGTCATCGGTTAAAATGAACTTTACAGGTTAGATATAAAATTATGTAATGTTGGACACAGTCTAAATCAGCAACTTTATCTGCTATTCATCATGAGCTATAGTACATATATATACACTATATATTATGCAGTTCTAAGACCACTGACTGGAGATGAGTTCACGTCAATAGCCGTAGATTATGTCTAAATCAGGAAAAGTAGATTCTCTTAATTTATTTCAGTAGGTAAGCATGATGAGGAGGAGCTATAACTAAGCTTACAGTTAGTTTCTTCAGCAAGGAAGACCATGATTTCCATTTTATTTAGCATTTTTAGATATTTATTAAATAATAACTTTGTACTAGAACTGATTATATCATAGTTATTATAACATGGGCGATCTTGACCTTTGCTATAATAAATTGGAATATTCCCTAAAATTTTAGGGAAAAATAGATTCTTTTAATTCATTTTAGGAGGAAAACGTGATAAAAATGATCTCTATGCAGGCTTATAGTAAATTTATACCTATAGTAAGACCGTAACCTCTATACTATTTAGCACAACATACCATTAGAGAGACAGTACGCCATATTGAGTAATGATAAATACTACATTAGCATTGGATCACTTGATAGTTATTGTAACATGAGTGATCTTGACTTGGCTTTCAAGAAATTAGAAGTATTCCACAAATAAGAAGATCAAAATCTCATAGTTATCCTGTATATTATCTAATCGTTCACGCTATCGAATAAGTGATAAAATGCCTCATGATAAATAGTTGGTATAAAGTACCATATTAATTCGATAATTTTGATCGCTATTAAGCTAGCAAGAAAATGTCCTTCACCTACTTAAGAATTTACCTTTAATTTAACTTCATGTTATCATAATTTATTACTGTGAAGTCATGTTTTATCTTGATCTTATGATTAGCCACTTGAAATCTTAGCTGGTCTTCTTTCATAGAGAGTAATCGATTTCGTTCAATTTCCTGACATCTTCTGTTTCAATACTATTGAAACTAGATCTTTACGTTGACCATGATAATTCCTGACTATATAGTGTTGTGATCAAGATAGACCGGATATATTGAAATAGACTATATACCGAGTACAGAGATTGCATTAAATAACAACTCTATTTTCTAGCTACATGTACTCAATCCAATGATAAAGTTAAATGATGCAATTAGCATAATTACTTTTACAAAACAGACATCTTTGTTATTGTAGTAGAAGAAAGAGAATAAAGTATCGATTAGTCCTATAAGCCCCAAAATATTAAATGCTACATTCTTTAACTGCTTGAACTAGTATTGGAGTCTATAGTTGGTATATGATTAAATAATAAGCTTTTCATCGTTGATAATGTGCTTCTGAAATGATCAAATGCAGGACGACTATTTCATAATTCGCCTGCATTGATATTTTACGCGTAGATCGTTATCGCATTTAAAAACTTTAGATTTAGTGAGAATATCTCATGTAAGTAGATCACTAGAAGAGATTAACTATTGTAAGATATTAGTCATCCCCAGACGTATTTTTGCTTGCCTTACTTCAGATCTTCTATATCGTAAAAGACTGCAAACGCTTCTTTCTGTTGATGATGCTGTGGAAAAATTATATCGCTCAATACGTAAGCTTGACCTGAAAGAGAAAACTTACCTATTCTTCACTTCGGATCATGGCTATCATCTTGGACATTTCTCTATAGTCAAAGGAAAATCCATGCCCTATGAGACGGATATTAGAGTTCCTTTCCTTGTTCGTGGCCCTATGATTCCAAAAAATGTTAAGTAAGTTAATAGTATTGTAATGAGTTAGTTCTTGATGTTATCGTTTCTATAAGAATTTTTAAGCTTGATTACTAACATTAGAATAATCAAACATCAAAAGATTGATCATTTCTCTCCCAATAGTAGTCAATATTAAAAATATATTTAGAATATTTTTACCTTATTATCTACAACAGAAAGCCCTAAAATTGAAAATATAATATATTGCACCTAATAAAATTTATAATATTAACATCTTAGGGTGGGAGAAATTGTTTCCAATATCGATTTAGCACCAACATTTCTAGATATTGCTGGAGTACCGATTCCATCTCAAATGGATGGAGTATCTATTATGCAGTTATTTAGAATTTCCAGGTATTTTAGTGTCCTCCAATATTATTATTAATCGAAACTAACGTAAATTTATTTTAAAATGAATAATGTAAATGTTTCATCTCATCTATTTTAATGCTAACTGCAAATTGGAATAGAATGATATCAATAAATAATATTTCAATACATTGATCGCTGATTTAATCTAATAAGATTAACAAAAATGGCACATAATTCCTTTGCTACCATGCTGATCACTTCGAATAGTCTCTATTAATTGCGATATCTTAAATAAACAGAACCTATGCAAACCATCAATTCTGTAGTTCTAATTTCCAATCATTGAAGAATGGAAGCTATGTAATATTGGTGTTACAATTGCTAACTTTATACTTTGCATTAGATGGAAGTGGTCTGGAAAGTTTCCCATTACAACATGGAGGGACACAATTCTGATAGAACGAGGGTAAAATTATCAACTGATACATGCTAAAATTTTGTTACGTAAATTTGTTCATTTTGGTTCTTAATCTACTTCTATCGGGAGTTTATTACTTTGTAGCATATTGCTTTCTAAAAGAACAAATTTTGTCGCTAGGAAAGCTCGTGAGAAGACTTATGCCGTTGAAGAATGTGATGTAAAAGCTGCAGAATTTTGCAAATCTTCACTCTATAAATCTTCATGTAGAGGTAAACAGAAATTTGTTTGTGTCCGAGACAATCAGTGTATGAAAGTAAAGAAATGTTCTAATGGTAAAAAGACTAATAAAGATCCTATTTGCATATGTGACAAGCAATTTCTTGATGCCATCATTAACAAGTTAGTAAGCGAATAAAGTAAATATCCGTATATTAAAACAGTCATCACATATTAATATATCAAAGGCGATAAAGGAATGTATTAGTTGATCTAATTAGCGATGTGGATAGAAATTTTGTGGTCATAGATTACTACTTTTCTTGGAGACTAGGTTGATATAAACAAACGTTAGAGGATAAAATATCGAATATAAATTGGTGGATCATAAATAAAGACAATAATAAAGATTGCATGCTCACAATGTATTGATTCTAGAATAATCTTATTCTCTCTGCTATAATTTAGTGATTTCACTAAAAGGCTTCAAGATCAGCAAGAATCAGTCAGGAAAGAGAGAAGTATAGCCGAAAGATATCGGCGTCAAATAACATCGCCTTCGCGTCGATCACAAGACTCAACGAGTTGGAGGCTTAGCTTCTTAAACATGCTAGCAGATTATAATAAAGCAGTTAAAAGACTAAACGATATCCATCGACGCTTGCGATTGATGTTATCCATAAATAAAAATTCATTAAATTACCTAAAACCAACTATTAATGGATGCTTATGTGAGCACGAGATAGATCACGCGAATAAATTAGCCACTGATGCAGTTACTAAGGATATTTCTGCCAGTGGACCTAATGAAGATGGCGATAGTGCTCTAATGACTAATAGATCTGACGGCTACTCTGGTAAATCATCTTGTTCTCGCCCACCATTAACTTGTTTCTACCAAACAAAAGATCATTGGAAGACACCTCCATATTATACAGGTTCTGCTCCATAGAATGATTTAGTGATGTTCAAGTTTTAATAATCTATAGCGAGTAGAGTATTAAAATTCGTCGTTTAATATTAGAAAAATAGATATCAGATGGTAAAAGACAAGCTCTAGTTTTGCACTATCGTTTAACTATTGACTGCATAATTTTAATAGGAGGACAATTAGCGATATTCAAATTTTAATAAATAATGTATTGCAATATAGTAATTAAAATTCGTCGCTTAATGTTAGAAATATCTATTGACTGAATACCGTAATTTTACTAGGCAATCCATTTTGCGCTTGCGGCAACGTCAACAATAATACATACTGGTGTGTTAGAACCATAAATAATACTCATAATTTTCTCTATTGCGAGTTCGTAACCAAATTCGTCGAATATTTTGATCTAACCAAGGACCCGTATCAGGTAAATCATATTTACTACCTAATTTGTAGCTATAAATAACAGTTTAAGATTTAGCGTTTGTAAGCCGTGGCGGATTCTGTAAAGTTTGATTAATAGTTTACTCTTTTAATGCTATGGAGATATTTGCATAAAGTATACAGTAAATACGTTCGGGAAATACCGTTGATGAGCATAGCTAAATCTGATATTACGCTAAATTCTTTCTACTATCGTTCTTTAACTCACATAACATGCTGTAAACCGTATGTTATTGTAGATGTTGATGCTTGTAAGAGTTATCAGTCATACAGCATGATTAATAATATCATTAGAATTCGGATTACGTAGGCAAATTACGCAGACAATCTGATTCTTATCGTAAACAAAAATTACCTTTGTAGATTATGCGATAGGCATTACTAAAATTTTATTAGTGATATCAAGTTATGACACTTAAAAACATATTAACAATTATATCTGTAACATTATAGTTAAAAAACACAGCTGCTAGTCAACCAAGATGGAAGTTGGCTGATTTACATAATACCTTGGAGGAGATGAAAATTTGCAAAGGAGCGAGACAGTGCACTAAATACAAACAGTTACCGTCGAAGTCAAAATATCTATGGATTAGCTTATATAATCATAAACATACATAAAATACAAACAATTTTTAACCGAGCTTAAAGCTATATTATAATTGGTTATCCTAAGAATATCATAACAATTCCGTTCTTTGCTAGTATCAATTTCATAACTTACTTCACATAGAACTAAATGTTGCGAACTACAGTGAAAATAGTAATGCTCATAATATACAATATCAACGTGAGGTTGCTAGTGTTATACAGGCCCTGTTCTTCTAGGATTTGTATTTATATATATCTATTACAGTTGTCCATCTGTACATGATTATTTATCTTGTAATCTAAGATAACTTTGTAGAGTTGTATAGTCATGTAATTCAACAGTGATATATTAAAATATCAGCATAACTGCGTCACTTTTCTAACATTAAAATTGTCGGTTAATAGTATTTATTGGCTAAAATTTGAAATGTTTAAATTTATAACTTCTAGTAACGAGTCAATTCCATACCAAGTTGGTACTGTATCATTAGTAAAATCTAAGTCAGCTCGTTAGTGTGTCTGTATAATAACATGTAAATATTTACCAACAGCCAGCCAAACGATATTTTCATGTTAAAATAACCGATAGTAAATCCTGATTTAAATAACAATGTTGTGCAGGTCTGATATGATTTTATATATATATATATATATATATATATATATCATTATCACAAACTATCAGTCCTACTACGCGTACGTGAGTTCGTTTTATTTACATTATCTAATTTTAGTTTGAAAAAACTATCTTGTAATGCTTCAGGAGCAGTTGTTCGCATATTTGGGTCGTAACACAACATTTTAGATAGAAGGTTAAATAATTTCTTAGTTGCTATATCGTCGCTTCTAGCATATTCCTGCGTGAGAGTATCAGTTACATTAGTCATTTTTTACATGAAAGGGCTTAACATTACTTTATCAACTTACATCTAAAGGTTTACATTCTCGATATACATATTTGGCTCCTTCTCCAGTGCTATCCCATACTACTTTTCCCTTCTTATTAAAGTAGTGGGATTTTCTATAAGGATTTCCAAAAGAAGTCTTGATGTTATTAAGCGTTTCAGAAATGCGGCAAGTGAATAGTCTTATTCTGTTTCAGTCAACGCAATCAATTCATTACTTACTTTCCCTTTAGCTGCATTTCAATGGGAATATCACCCAAAATAATTTCCATCATGGCCAAATGCTCACGATTGTCATGTGTCTACAACAATTAAAGTAGCCATTATATCCCGTAGCTTATTGCATATAGCCTCAAATAATTTCTAACCACTTTAGAGCAACAGTAGGGAGATACAATAACTTACTTGAAATAAAGCATTGCCAGTATAATATTCATACAGAATGCAACCGACACTCCAAATGTCACATGGGTAGCTCCAACCTAATTCTTATTTTAAAATTTTCGACGCAAGTAATTACTACATTTGCTTTTTTATAGTAGTTGCATGTCAATGTTAACAACAATTATGCTGAAGATGTAATACCTAAAATAACCTCCGGTGCACGATAATGTCTGGTTGAGACAATTCTGCTGTGGTATTCACTTTTGAAAACCGCCGAACCAAAATCAATGACACAAATATTACTACTCCGCAAAACTCTTTGTTTCTTTTCCTGAAAATAATAGCATAATGGATGGCATAAAATTATACAATTGAAAAGAGAAAATTGCGGAAGGTACACAAGGAGAATCGTATTAACTATTAATAACGTAATACATACCAGTTCTTCATTGTATTCGGAATGATAACTTGAATTTGTAAATAATATATTTTCTGGCTTTAAGTCAGTGTGAGTAAGATTGTTGTCGTGCAGAACTGAAATAAGAAAATACAATTCAGTACACGGTATCAAAATTTTGTATCTGGCTTTTACACTCAACATAAGCAAAGATACTGATACATACATGCAATTGCACACAATAATTGATATCCCATATTCTGTATATGATGCATAGGGTATGGAGAATACTTATTATCTTTCTAAAGGCGTTAAAAAAGACAGAAAAATGATAGCCAGTTAAGGTAGTCTTTGCAGGTTTCAGTAAGTTATTAAAATTATGCAATACGATAGAGAAATACAGTAATATCAATCTTTTTAACAATTATTTAAGGCATCAAGCTGTACGAAATAGCAATAAATAAAATTAAACAGTAGATTTCAGTTACATAATTAATAACATAATGTTAAAATGTCAAGTCATTAATCAGTGTTCAGCGAGTTTGTTAACAATTTCAGTTAGGCTACGTAATTTATGATACGCCCTAGACTACAGAAGATCTATAAAGTATTTATTTGAAAGTATGCCACCACAAATATAATAATTTTACAATTTATTTAACATACAATGATTATAACCTACTATAGTACTAGTTTTCAAGAAATATTCCAATATTATCTTACCATAAAATCAAACGAGCTACTGCCTAACACATTAAATGAAATACAAGTATGACCATAATAGTCGAACCAATCCAACATTCTGACACAAGGTCTATAAGATTAAACAATTTTAGCGCCATTCATTACTAGTAGTATTGTTGAATTGACAGATAATTTCTAATGTTATAAAATACGAAGAAAGTTTGATTGCAAAAACTCACATTTCTGCTTTGGGATCCCATTTGCAAATTTTTTTTAATACGCGTATTTCCAATTCTGCAGCCTCTCTACAACAAAAGAATACAATTAATCCAAAATAGCTTATTTCTATAATCAATTCTCCCTGATATATCTACAAATTTTTTAACTCCATGTTTGCCTTTTACATAGAGAAAGTACAGCAGCAGCATATGCGTCTACAAGTATTTATGGATGTATGTCAGACTAGTATTAATGATTAGCCAATGTTATTCATTCTTTCCAATATTAAAGAATAGACTTTTAAGATATATTAGCTATTACGTGCATGCGGTGTTGTAACTACTCACCTATACTTTTGCACATTTCGAATAATCTTTAACGCAATTTTATCATCACACTGTCTACTCCAATCATATAAGAGATAAATCCATCATCGATTAATTAATATTAATGTGAAATTAACATAGGTTACGACATTCATAGAATAATGGTTTTTCTCTTATAGAACTTATGTATATAGAATACAATTAAAATTAATTCGGTATACATCATCCAATAGCATACTTGTCGTAACATAACGCAACTTTACCAAATGTACCAGTTCCTAAGGTATCTAATATTTGATCTAAAATTTTGAATAAAAATTAAATCAATAACATTTCTTATCGTATAGCAGGTATGCCATAAATAAGCGATCATTGTAGCAAATGAAAATTTGTTACTACATTGAAATCGAAAACAATGGTTAAAGTTATAACTGCGTTTAATACGCGAAGTGTTACTGCCAACGGCGACTAGATAGTGACGAAACATTGGATTTATTCCTTTCTACAAGTAACGGATTATTGGATAGGCTAGGAAATATTATTGCAGCATAGATATCAAAAAGTACATCTTGATTTCAGCCAATCTCCTTTTTGGTATACGAGGTGTCCTTCCTCGTCATCGTTAATTTTGACTTGTCCACCATTTTCTCTCCTCTGATATTCATGGATATGATGATTTTTAGAATGCATACACAGACAGATAAAAGAGTTGTACTTCAGGAATAGAAACACCGCAATGGGATAACATAGCAAACATATTTAGTTGATCAACACTTCAAGCGAACAGGTTTTATTTTCTAAATTATAACAATATACGCATATATTAGCAACAATAATAATGCCGTAGGGAATAAGAGTCTACTGGAGTCCATTTTTCATTTTAAAGTTTACTCAGTGAACAGACCTACCAGTAGCTTTATAATGACAAGATAGAACATAATTGTAAGACTGTTATCAAAACTGAGGATGATCGATGACAATTTTTACAATTACTAATTACTGTATGAACCAAAGCATTTCAATCCATTAATAAAGTCATGCATTAATTGATATTGCTGATGAATTAAAATTGTCACTTTAAAGGTTAATTAATATCAATATGATATTAAAATTTCACCACCGGTTATTGCTTAAGCTACGGTACGATAAAATTTCAATTATATTTCTCAAATCTTCAATTTCGTAGTGATATTAAGAAACGCCGTTATTTCATTTAATTTTTAATTGCCCTCAAAAAATTAAATCCACTGGGTATAGACACCTTTCGGTATCTAATCCTAGTTTGTATATGGCCGATCCCCGGGATTGACCGTAGCATCTATATACATGCACTTTAACATTCTATCGCAAAGTATGCATTTCAATCATGCTGTTGTTGCAATTATTTAATAAAATAAGTTAAGCGGATTGACTGCTACATCTAAAATATCTTCAAATAGATGGTCAGTTAATGATACGAGAATGCTAATACTTTTTTACATGTTATTCTCGAAATTTGCCCTACAGAAGTGGATTGCAGTCATTCCTAATATATGTCTCATTCAACCTACTAGAAGATGTTAACAATAGCATGTAGAACTAAATGCGAAATTTTTATCATTGGTTTGGCTGTAATTGAGATGATAGTTCTAGGTATCCACTCATAGCAATCTGGAATTATTTTATTGAAGACTTTAAATTTTCCCAAACTCTACTCAAGCCAAGTATTGATTGATTTTAATATGGTGAAAATCAGGATGTCCATCATACCTGGGGAAAGAATTGTGCTAATAAATTGAGAGAGTTGACTTATCCGTCTAGATTGAAATAATCTAGTAAACGCAATCATAAATGCGCATACATAAAAATTGATACCATGTTGCTCTATAAGATGCTAAAATAGACTTATTGGCTGAAAAATGGCAATCATTTTTAAAGTGGTGTCATGACGGACAACTAACCAAATTGTGCAAGGGCGATAGAGTGTACAAACAAGGAAATCATTTTTAATCCCATGTCCACTTTTTCAATATTTGTACCCAAATTGTTGACTGCTACGGGAAAGTAATCAAAATAAAGTTAATTAACGATTAGACAGTACTTCAAAAATGATCTAGTACAACATGGAGTAGTTGACTTTGTAGTCTACAATAATAATACGGTCATGGAATGGAGAGCAAGATATCGTAGTTATTTTAGCGATCATTACTGTACGCGTATAGTATAAAAATGATAATTATCCATTTTGTTATCCTACGATGAGCCCTTTAAAGTTACGGATCAGATCTGATCCAAAAGTACATCTTGGTGGTAATCGTATAAGATGATTTACATTGAGTTATTGAATTTCTTAAAGTAATCTACTAGATACCATGCTAATCATTTCTAATCTTTTTCATAATTAATTCATTCTAATTAGCTGAAATAGCCCATCATAAGCTCTTAAGGTAGATGTTTATCTTAAAGAATTCATAGGAAATAAAGCTGATACTGATTTGATGGATTCTTTCTAAGCATTCCATTACTGTACTACAATTGATTTCATTCTGTCATTGCCACGATAGGATCGCTATAAACGTAGAAGATATACTTGTGCTTGAGAATATATATTTATAGAGAGAGAGAGATATCGCCAACTTTGACAGAGATACAAAGTGAAATTCTTTCCAAAGCTAGCTGTAACGGCTTGCAAGAAGCAAGTTTTTCATCTTGATCCACTTATATCATCGTCTTGGCATGTAATAGAATATGGACTAGAATAATTAAGAATATGGCCCGAATATTAATGTGCTACTTCTTTCATGCTCAATAAACGAATAAGTCCCTCTTTACACTGTCTGCTTGAATACTACTTAGTATCAAAGTAAAAAGTAATGATTGGTAGGGTAGTAGGCGCACCTACGTATACTTGCAAAAGCATTTTGACACAAGATGACGCCTCTCTGCTGTTTGCAAGGGAAAAAAGGATATTGAAATCAACTTAAGAAAGGCTCATGGCCATTGCAAGCCTAGAGTGGACTTTAATCATGATGATCCTATCTTATCCAACGGATTTCTATGGCAAATGTCTCTTGACTACATTATCATTAACGGTCCACTTATGTCAAAGATTAGTACTTTACACGACTACGATGGATCCACATATAGTTCCATTTTCAACAGTGTTGGGTGCATCATTGTCCATGATGGTCTAAGATAGATGTAATTTCATTTTGAACATGTTCAATGCCATGATTGCTGTTTGAATCCGTTGTTCCCCTTAAGAGATGGCCATCAGTTTTTGTTGTTGGCCATTTCAAATTGTACTCGGTCATGTTACAACAGTATTGAAAGATTCCATTGCCAAGTTCTAGAAATCCATCATTTTTTCAATGGATACTACAGTATTCTATTTTGTAGCAACTTGTCTAGGCGTAGCATAATTAAAAAACGATTCTAATTGTCCATGAATACTTTTAATTATAGGGGTTTTACTGTCCTAGTAGACAATACTTTGAAATTATTGATACTATCTATTTCGAATGGAGTGGTGCCGGTCAATTTTACCTTTACCGGACTATTCCGTTCTAAACTGTAGGATCAAGCAAAGAAAAGGGTCTTCTATTGCTATTAAACTGTCTTTTGCAATAGTTTCTACTTTATACACATGATGATTCATCGAATTCTACGTATTGCAGACGACCCATTTTGCCTCTAGCTTCAGAAATTCACTTGCAGCTTGCTCCAAGTATGGATGATTACCATATCCACTTTCATCCAAGCGTATAGAATTCCGATACAATATTATAAATTAGTTTAATGGATTAGACTAAGAAAATGAGCTCGTTGTCGTCATTTATCCATGGCCTTTGAGTAGCTACCGATTGTCATCCTATGACAGTGATGGAAAACTCGACTACAGTATCGGCCTGGCAAATATATTTTTTTTTTCACTGTCAACACTCTTGATGATCGCAAGCATAGAATTAAGAGAGTGTCGAAAAATGGAAGGTCCATTTCATCTCACATTATGCCATCAAGGACTGCAATAGGATTGGTCAACAAGACGAAGGAAAACATAAGCAATAACACTTACGTGATGGCTTGCAGTTGAAGAAAGTCGACTATGGTAAGAGCGATGTTTAGAGGGCCTTGAATGTCGGTGTCGTGAATGGTCCTGGCCGCGGCGACGTTCATAGGTGGATCCTGTAGGATTACTTCGATTGCGCTCTCCATCATAACGCCAATGATGTCGATCAAGACAACGTTGGCGTTGGCGCCTACGATAAGTTGGAGATTGACTACGATCAAGATCATGCCTTGCTATCTTCCTTTTCCTAGCATGATCATCTCGGACTTGGTGATGATAGTGATCCGGAGAGCGACTAGAATAACCGCGTCTCTTTCTTTTTCTATCGACACTGGAAGAAGGCATTTTTTTTCTTCTCTCTCTCTCTTGCAATACTTTACAATGTTGTCTACGGATGGCTAAAGGGTATGAATGGCCAGACAAGAGTAGGCTTTGATTAGTCAAGTAATTTGGACGGAATCAAGAGGTAGAAAATATTAATACGATGATCATTAGCAAGCCAATTGGGGGAATTTCCAGTGGCCAGCAGCGGTCTCCATTACTCTCATGGCTGCCTTTCACTGAGCTGCTATCCAGTCCCATCCCGTCCCATGATGGCTATGGATGAGTGCCGTCCAATTGGCCATCCATCCGTCGTCAAACGACTGTCACCTGCGATATCACCATCCACGCCTCACCAGCGTTGTTGGTCATCCACACTTTGGGTCACCTACCTCTACTGGACGTGGTACAACTATACGGACAGACAGTAGGCAGGAAAGACAACGCCAATTGGACTATACGAGGTAGGTATTTTGGGGCTTGCCTCTCCATTCCACTCGACTACACTGAACACTATACAATCAGTAGAGTAGTGCAGTGCAACATGAACACTACAGTAGCCACTCGTAACGGTGCTGCACTGAGCTGAAGAGGCTGACACGCAACGCTTCACTGCAAACATGACACACTTTTCACACCATCAGTGCCAGTCACAAGCGTGAAGCTGACGCTTGCTACTTGACACCAACCAATCCTACGGCACCAATTGCAAGCATGCCCATTTGCTTATGCGTTTCTTGCTCAAGCTGCCATTGTCGATTATGCCCATCAGTTCTTGTACTAGACACAACAGGGCATGCAGATTGGCCATTGCACTTCTTCTTGCTTTGATTACTTACATGTAAATTTTATACTTTCAACAGTAACAAATTCCCTGCAGATTGGCCATTGCACTTCTTCTTGCTCTGATTACCTACATGTAAAATTT